CCGAGTTTGGTCCTCGGTTTTGGTCTCAATTAGCTATATTATGAAGAACAGTTTTGCTTACAGAGACTTTTTCATGCACTTTATTTTTTTCTGTGGTTTTATTTACTTTGGATTTTTAAAATGTCTTCCCCGGAAAAAGGTTTCCCTATAAACCCTCAAATGTTAAATCAGGGTTTCTGCAACTCAAAGTTAAGACTATTCCGAATGAAATTTGTATCACGACAAACGTACAAAAGAAAATCATATATTTTATAGGAATGTATAGAAATGTCCTTGAAAGTAATAAAAGTGCTTATGACACTTTTGTGGCTGTCCTTGACCACAACAACAAATTAGAAAATAAAATTACAAGAATATCAGAATTGTGTGAGAACAAAGTCAAAATAAGGAGAATAAAGTCTCAGAATTATGAGAATAGTAATATTTTGAGGGAAAATGTTATTTTACCAGAATAAAATTATGAGAAGGGTCTTATTATCACCTCTCCAACTTCATTCACTATGATGAATAAAGTCATAATAAGGTGGGAATAAAAGTCAAAATGTCTTAAGAAGTCATATTACAACTCCTTAACACATTCTTATTAAACACCTTTACAATTAATCATTAATCAAAGTAAAGTAGATCACAGTGAGCTGAAAGATGCTGAATTCTTACCGATATAATCTGGTGACACAACCTGTTTGCTTTCCAGATATGATCGCATGTATTGCTGATTTAAATCCCTTCAAACATTTGGTAAATTCAGTCAAATGTAAATCAGTTAAGAGAAGGTTTTCCCTCATGAATCTTTGATCGATATGAATAATTAATTATTCTTATTTTTCACATCTCTCCTGCTGTGTGACTGGAATTAAACAGGCTTTGGATGTGATGTGTGGCATTTTTCATCAGTTTAGCCTAAGCCTGGATTACAAGTTTTTGCTCTTTATTTGTACAAATAGCTGTCATTTCATTTTTGTTCTAAGTTTTAGTTTTGTAATACATTGTGGGAGTAAAGAAAAAATTAAATAAAAATCAAATTTATGGGTGAAACCTGCAGCAGTCCATTTAATTTAATTTAAACGGTCTCTGCTGCCCTCTAGTGACTGCTTCTTGCATCTTAAATGTGTCTTTATAAGACTTTTTTTTCAATAAAATTAAGTTTCACTAGGATTTTCTAAATATTTCCATGTGTTTTATGGTTCAAAATATTTCTTTTGCCAAACATAATACCAAATGTTAACTTGATTTTATACTATGAACTAATTAGACATCACTCCAGAGGATACATTTGTTGTTAGTTTATTACATGGATGATATTTTTTTCAATAGTTTCTGAAAAAAATAGAATCAGTTTGTATAGAAAATAACTGCGACACAATAAAGTTTTTATTGCCTTAGAGAAAATGGTGAAACTGCACAGTGTTTGATGAATCTACAGCTTTAAAATGCTGATGGTATTTAGTTCAACTCTATTTTGGGAAGTGTTTCAAGCGTAAACTCAGCTTTGCACTAGTTTCAACTCACAAAATTAACAAGCAGCTTTTCAGGAAGATATAGGAGCTTGTTTTAAGTCAATAATTTCTGAATATTGAGAAAAAAGTATTTGTTAAATTGACTTATTTCACTTATTACAAGACATTTTTTGTAGTTATAAGTAAAATAATCTTCCAGTACTTTTCATCAATATGAAGGAATTATTGACTCTAAACAAGGAACTATTTCTTGGTAAAAAGAAAGTGTATTTGCACTAGAAGCTAATAAATATTTGGTAGGATTTTGTTTTTGCAGTGTTGGTGTATACATGTCCATTAGATGGAGCCAAATACCTGCTTAAGAGGTCTCCATTTTTAGTGTTTTTAGATGTGCAAAATGTGTATTAGGCTCTTCTAAGAACTAGCCTCTGATGGGTTTCCTCTTGAAAAACAACCAATCAACCCAACATGAGCCAGCCACGAACATCCTGCTCCCAAACAAAGATAGGCACCTGGTTTTCCCTTCTTAAATACACCGAAAAGAGGAGAAAAGCTTGTATGAGTAGCTACATTCCCCTCAACAAAGACAGCATTTACTGTTTCTGAACAGCAATCACATCTCCACTCTCCCGAAGAAAATCCTCCAGATGGGTTTGAAATCTGCAACAATTTGTTTGGTCATTAAGATGCCTATTCAGAACTGTTTTTGCCTCATAATTATGACAAACTAGGCAGTGTGCCATGTCACTGATGCATTCCCTGGTGCTCACAAGTAATTTTCTTTTCCTAAGGGGGAAAGACGCTGCTGTGTGTTCTTTAATGTTCAGCCCACGTCTGGAACTCGCAGCTACAAGAGTGCTGAAATTATTTCAAACACATGGAAGTGGATTGAAGATTGCCTGAACAACAAAGCTGCTTGGAGCTGGGTTTCTACTCATAAGTTTATCTCTGTCGTTATTTGACCAATCCATGTTCACGCTTTCTTGTTTTGCTCAGGTGTGAGGAGCACATGAGTCATTGCAGTTGCATAAAACAAGGCGGTTGTTATCACAAGAGCTGTGGATTGAACTAACCTTTGGTCATGAAACAATGAGGCTCTGAATATAAATGAACCAATCATTGGTTTGACTTGCTGACTTTAAACGTTTCGTTTAATTCTAGTCTACTTATGAGCTCTTAGATGTGACCTATTAGGCTTCCTTGAACAGGTTTGGATATATCTACGGTCTATATAAAACATGTTCATTACATTTTTCCATAAAAACATTTTTATACAATGAGATTTTAGTTGGAATGAGTTACTTCAGGGTCTCTTGTTACTTTAAATCCAATCCAACGTTTCCACTCACATGTGAAAATGGCTGCAAATATTGAACAGTAGAAGTGGAGCCTCCTGCACAATCAACACGAATCCAGCAAGTGGTTTCTGGATGGTAAATCAACAACAAAACACCAATAAAACCAGCTCACCAAATGTTCTGGTGCCCCATTTGGGTTGCTGGGAAACCTACTGGGGTTGCTAGGTAACAATTCTGGGCTTGGCTGGGGTTGCTAGGTAACAGCATAGCAGCCGCTGACTTGTGAAGTTTCATTTGGAATGTTTTGAAATGGCTCTTCCGTTAAAAAAGAAACAAAATTAAAATCACAGATGGATTCGTTTGTACACACGATAAGTCATTAAAGTGCTGCTCCATGTTCTCTCTACCACTTCCTGTCATCTTTTTAATCATTTCCACCTGTAGTAACATCCGGGTGTTGGATCACATGACTTGTGTGATGTGAGAAAATGTTTCCAATGCAGTTTGGGAAATATTCCAATTTTGATATGACCAAAAAAACCACAGAAACCTTTTTAATAAAGAAGGTGAAAGTCTTTTTTTTTTTCCCCAATTGGAGTGTTTTTCTTCAGAAAAATTGTTTTTGTAACTCCAATTTTAAAAGGTTATCGAAACTCAACTCGTCAATGAACTCTGGGTAGCAGTTGTTGTTGTTGTAGCAAATGGCTATTAGCATCAGTAACATAGAAACCGGAAAATAAACTTTTGTATTTTAAAATTAGCTTGATGATCTGAAATGTTTATGTGTGACCAAAAAGCACAAATCTGTAAATTACCAAAATATTTCTTCATGACTTGCTGAGCCATAAAGCTCCCTCTGGAGGCCTGGACCAGTGATTAGAAAACAAAAAAAAAATGAAGAACCAGAAACTATTTGCTCATATTTACCTGCATGTGCTGCAGGTTTTCTGAGAGCAGCTGTAATTACGAGCACATATTTTCTAATAACACATTTTCCACAGCGCGTTTCTGAAGTGCACCTGTATCGGCAAGTTGGGTTTTTCGAACGCTAAAGGTCAGTTAATGGAAAAATCTATTCTGCCCTCAAGTGGGGTGGCCGAGGCTACAGTTATGCAATCAGAGCATGTTAAAAATAATGACTTTTTGGTTACAGTTTAGCCACATTAAGCTGATATGCAGGGAATATGAGAAATTGTCTGCCCTGGGTATCAGCTTGGAACTTGTTTGTGCAAGAAATTACTATTATAAAAATGCAGGCGAGGAGGGACAAGGGGGGAAAAAAAGCCCCAGGCAGTTTTCTGCTGCTGTCACATCTCGTCTGCATACCAATATTTCACCTGCATTATTGATTGCACTACTTTGCGTCTTTTAGTCTTTTTTTTTTCTTCCAGCCACAATAGACCCATAAGAAACATCATGCATTATGAAACATGACACAAGGCCTGTTTTGTACTAACATTGCAGGGACTCAGAGAAGGTGGGGGGCCAAAAAACATCCTGGAGAATTGAAGTCTGGAGTTGTGACGTCGGCCTTGTTTCTGCCGTCTAAAACAAACAACCTTAAAATGAGATTTAGTGCTTATGAATTGGGAACAGGTGAATTTATTGCAAAAACCGAACCACCTTTAGGATGTTGATGATACTACTATTTTAAGCAATAATGGCTCAATAAAGAACTCACACTGCCACTGAATATTTTACTTGTGTCGAGGCAACACGGCTAAGCCATGCTGGGTATGCTGAGATTTTTAATAAGAGCTGACAGCATTCTGTCAGGTGAAAATCTCCTCTAATTTGCACAAGATACCGAGCCTCTCTTTGCATTCTCACCACCATTTCATTCTTGTATTCTGATAGCCTGTTATGGATGACCCAGGAGGAGAGATTGACAGTATGATAACCAAGTGTTCCTCCAAATAAAGTTGCACCTAAAACAATGCAGATTAGGTCCGTTGTGTAACCCAGTGTTAAAAATGCAAGTGAAAGTTTATGATGTTAATTTGATGTCTTTTTTTTCCCACAAGATTCGAAAGTATAAATAGATTTTATGTTTTGCTTTACTTAAAAAATTATATCAAAAAGTACTAAAAATCTTTAAAAAGCTGTGAAGTAGGCCTTTTGTGACTGTTTTGCTGATGGATTGGGCAGCCAATGGCTGGCGTGGTCTGATATTGCGTCAGCCAATGGGGTTGACTGTCCCGCCCCTTTCACTGCTGCGCTATGATTCTGCTCATAACGCGTCAGACTCGGTTGAGAGCTCACAGCTAACCGTTGGTTCCGTTAAGAGCCTGAAAGAGCTTATAAAATCTGGACAAACGGTAAGAAAAACAATATTGGTATAGTTTCTCAAAATATATAATTGAAAATAGTAAATTCGTTTTTTTATTTATCTTTGAGAGCAGCTGAGACTGGAAAAAAAAAATCCCCGTTAGCATCAGAGACGTCAGAGCGATGGTGAGTAACCGCACGCGCTCGGCAGTTGGCTCAGTGGATTGGTTGAAAATTGACAAAAACACGTAATATCTGACTAAATTTAATAAAAATAAAGTAGCACAGTAAAATTTTTATTATTATTGTTGTGTATATTATATTTTTTCTGTGTAGTTGTTTATTTTTCTTTGAGTAAGTAAAAGTTCAACGGTTCTATTTCAGTTATGTGCTTTTTCCGTTGGCATTACAAGAAATTTATAGTGTTGAAGATGTACCGGCACTTTTAGATTGAAATATATATTATTATGTTATTTTTCTTTACCACATATTTAGCTAATTTCTTTAATTTAACTGATGTATAAGTAACATTGTATTCTGATAAACTGATGACTTTTGTACAACTTGAAAAGAAAAAATTGATCAATGATGGAAGATCTCTGAATTACAACAATTTATTGATACATAGGTTTGATTGATATTGGCATCTTGTATTCTGAGATGTTTTACTTTGGCCTTGTTCCAGGTCAGGGTTTTTTTTTTTTTTTTTTACGGTGCACTTTTGGCTTGGAGTGCCCAGAGACTTTCAAGACCCATTTCTTCTGAATTTGGATGGCGAGCCCCAGCCCAGAGAACCCAGTCAGACGGTAGATAGTGACCCGACTGGTCACTATCCTTGAAACACTGAGAGAACTGACTGACACATTGGAAGAGACTGGACAAACACTGAAATAAACAAATCAAACAAGAACGATTTTAAATGCTTAATGCAACTAATACGCCAAGTGGTTTCTCCTAATTAAATAGAAAATGCCACAGTTAATGAGTGCTGCAGCCTCTGAAACGTTCAACCTCTAAATGACCAGCATTTTCAGCACTATTATGATCTGGTTTCAGATTTTCAGTAGAGTTCAAGTCAATGGATTTATCTGCACAAACACAAAATCTTATCAAGTATTTTTGGTCTACTTTCTTGTGCAAATATTTACAATACACCTGCGATAAGACAAAACTAACGTACAAGTAACCTTTCAGCAATCAACATGATCTTTTTTAAGTAAGTAATCTCTGATATTAATTAAATGCTAGTTCCACTGTCAGATTTTTTCACTTTTTCTGTTAGAAGAGAAAAAACAAAATCTCACAGTGGTACTAATACTATATTTATTTTCAAGAATTATTTTCTTGAGCTTCTGTAACTTACTGCAAAATTATTAAATATTTTATTAGAAAAGTAAGTTATTTTTGTCTTATTTCAAGTGGACTGAGATATTTAAACTATAAACCAGACCAAAAATATTGGGTCAGATTTTGTGTTTTTGCAGGGTAATGAGAAAACAGTTACATTTTTGTGGTGGATTTTATTTGCTGACATCGTAACCGCCAGTTAGCCAAAATCCAACCTGCGTCTCTTTTTTCTGCACCAATTAACTGTAAACCAGCTGACCAAATGTCCTGGAACTTTGGGTTACTAGGGAACAGGTTACATTCCTGAAGTATTTGAAAAAACACCAAGTTGTTCCCAAAGAACAGCAGGGGGTGTTATTTTAAGCACTTGGTCAGTTTTTAGAAGAAGCTGTAACCCAAATTGAAGCAGAGAATAGATTTTGCGTATTATGTCTCCTTTAACCATTTTGTCACAACTACAATCACCCACTGAGCACTTTTTTTTGCGAAAGTGTTTCAAGCTGCTTTCCTTCGGACTTCCCAGGTGCTCCTGTGCAACAACCCATCTGTTGTGTCGTGTTACTGGGTAATCCCAGAACTCCCGATGGGTTGTCAGCATGTGAGTTTAACCCAGAGCCCTGGAGGCAACCAGAACAGAACACTGCCACTCACAGCAAAATGAAAACATGTTTTTTCTTCCTGGAAATCTATAAGGTTTAGCATCCGGCGCTGATGTTAATTCATCATTTGCAAAACCTCCTTGCTAATGTTCCCTGGAAGCATCCAGGCTCATAGAGAGGGTACAGATTATCTACCTCAGACGCCAGCAGACACCCCGAGGGGAGCAGATGCCCTCTTCATATGTTCAGGTTTCAGCTTAGGTCAGGGTGTCGACTCACGAAACGCGCTGCAATTCTGCTGAAATAACGACGCAAAGCCAAACGTTTCTGCCAAGGCGAATCAGATGAACATTTCCTCTAATGCTTCCCACTGGATGTATAATTGAGCTCTTCTTTCTGGGTTAAATTAAGGAGGGCTAACATTAACGTTAATTATACATCACAACTTCCCTATATTGCACGTATGAAAAGCCACATTTGACTTGCAGAAATCATGTGTTTAATGATCATATTCATGTTCAGAAAAAAGAGACTTTTTTTGCGTGACTGACAACCGCTATAAACTCTGTTTTATTTTGAAAAAAAAATAACTGCAAAAAATCTAATTATTATCAAGTGTTTTTGTCTGGTTTCTAAGTCAATCATTCTTTTTAATATTGATGGAAAAAATACAGATTATTTTACTGACAATGAGACATGTAACAAATCTTCTTTCAAATGGTTCGGAAAGAAGAAGTTGCATTAAATTCTAAATATAATGTAAAATAAAGAATTAGATAGAATAGATCTGCCATGATGGATCTGGCACTTTGTCACCAATACTTCATGTTTATGGGACCAATATCGATATCAAATTCAAATCAGTGCATCTCTAAGCACAGGGCTGCTGTGTAGAAGTAAGAAATTCTGTCACCTGCAGGTGGGAGTAAGCATCTCTTCAATGTTTTTGATAAGTGTAAATTTAACTTGCACTTTTGGGGTTAATAATGTATTTTTGATTTTGTATTTCAGTTTTTGTGTAAAATTTGTGACAGACTTAAATTGATGCATTGGTGAAAAAAAAGTTGAGGATTTTTGTGTGAATTTCCTTGCAGAAAGCTGGAATTAATCAAAATACAGATAAAATCTGCTTAGATTTGATTTATACAAAATATTTAATCAGATGTTATCTTGAAGGATCTATTTTGTGTCCCTTCAAAGGGCCACATAAAAAGCTTCAACGGGCCGAATTTGTCCCGAGAGTTTGACGCAATGAAAGCAATAATGTGGGTATTAAAATGTTTTGAGTCAGTTTTATCAATATATGAGTAAGGATGGTGATGGTGAGTAAGGGGAAGGAAAAAGGTCTCAGCAGGCCCGCTTTGTGTGCGAGTCGTGATGGAGAGCGGGGAGGAAGTCACAGTCATCTGACACACAGACGCAGTCGGTTTCACCACGGAGCAGACACAGCATGAACTCCAGCGACTCAAAAGGTTTCCTTCAGAATTAGGTTCAGCCTCTCCCGCTTTCAGAGTAATCACTAATGCAGAAAGCAGCAATCGCTGCTGACGCCCCGCGCTGGCCCCGCGCTGGCCCCGGTCCAGAACCTTATGAAACACCTTTCAGGGTAACTAAATGTACTACTTCAACTTTTCCACATTTTAAACCCTGAAAATTGAAGGTATTTTATTGGGAATTAGAAGAACGCATTTAAAAAATTGTCTTTAATTTCAACCATCCCTTCTGTGAGTTATATAATGTAGTATTAGTTATGAGACTGTCACAATAAGCAATTAATCAACTGATTGCATGATAGATTAAAACATGCTCAATAATTTCTAGTCTGATTATTAATATTATTTGAGGAGGAATTTTCTTTAGAGACTTTGGCTACATTCACAGTACAGTGACTAAATTCCAATTTTCTTGCCATAATGCCACCTGATAATAAATATGATGGTCTGATTAAACAAAGGTCAGATTTTTTCAAATGGCCACTTGAATATCTGTTACATATCCGATCTTTTCCAATGTAACCAAGTCCTCAACGTCATTGACACTTGACAAACGTCACTGTTCTGCGTCCTTGTGCGCAAGCGGGAAGAAAAATAACAACCATAATGAGGCTTAAGTTGTTAATATTCTGGCTCCAGTTTGGACAACTTCAAAACCATAAGAGAGACAAACACGCCTTTTTGGAAACAAGGTATTTTGTTATCTGGAAAATGAGCCGTTTCAAAATCCTCTTCAGTTTTAACGCACATGCACCGTTACCTAGCAACCCTAGAGTTCTGTCCATTACCTAGCAACCCTACAGTTCCGCCGTTACCTAGCAACCCAAGCAGAGTTCTGGCACCTTTGGACAGCTTTTTTCATATGCTGTACAAAGGCATCTGGAAAAGACAAGTGTTTTGTTGTTGACTTGCCATCCAGAAACCACTTGCTGCATCCTTGTTGGTTGGGCAGGAGGCTCTACTTGTGCTTTTCAAAGATGTAAGGTTGTATAATTGCGCATCTGTTTGCAGCCGTTTTCACATGCGAGCGTAAACATCGAGTTGAGCTAATTTGGATTTAAAGTGACAAGTGACTCATGCACCTATGCTAAACCTTTAACCTTTCACCTTTAACCCAGTTTTAGACATTCTCCCTGACATGTTTGATGTGTATAGCCAACCAAAGTGACCTTTTCTTCACTGAACCACAATATTTGGAGGCAACTAAATGCTCTGGATTTTATTTTATTGGGCAGAATTTTTTTGTATCACTGACTTAACAGTGATACTCTACTTTATGTCGGTCTACCACAAAAACCCAATAAGTACAGTAAGTAAATTTGAGGTCTTGTGAACACTTTGACAGATGAAAATGTAGATTCTAACAGGAAACATGGCAAAACAGGAAACATCCCTTAAAGCTCTCTTCAAGCTTATAAAAGCTTATAAAACCTAAATTTAGACGTGCCATATTCTTCTATTTTATCTGTTTGATACTAAACTTGGATCACAGTTCACAGAACGGACATCATGCTCTGTTAAAGAAGCTGTAAAACTAGCTGAGACCATAAACAGTTTTAGAAAATGTTTATTGAGGTCACAAATCAAACGAGAAGTAGGGTCATTTTCCCAAAGACGTCTGCACAAACAGTTTAATACTTTCTGCAATGACTGGACATAAAAACATCATTGGGATTAGATTAATTGCTTGGCTGCTGGATTGGAGGCACTGGCTTGTACACGTGTACCTAATCACCACTTAACTCCATAAAGTACGATTTATGGAGTTCTTATTCAACTTTCCAAAGCAAGAGCACTTTGTTTTTAATGATGATAGCTTTCTGGCACAGAGTAATAACAAAAGTTTGACAATTTGTGGTTGCAGTATCATTGGGATGTGTCTTGTAGATTAATATCAGACTTGTAAAACTCTCTGGAAGTTTATTGAGTACAGGAAGAGTTCTTTTAGTCTTTTATTCTGAAATTTGGGGTTTCTGCATAATTTTGAACTGGATATTGGTATTTTCAAGCTCTGGATACAAAAGAAAATGAGGCTAGTTAAAAATGGGGGGTTTATACGAACCGTACATATTTGTCTTTTAATGCATGGTTGCAAAATCAGGGACAACATGAGGATTTTAAAAATATTTTAGCAGCTACTAACGTCTGAAGATCACATTGAATGCATAAATCGTCTCCAAATTTTCTGTATTCACAATAATTACTTTTATCAGCTTAATTTTGAAATGAAACAAAAATTGTTTGAGTAATGAAACAGAAATGATGTTTTTGCTCATTGTTGTTTTTGCTAAACTCATGAATAAAACCTGGATGTTACAAGATATTTGTTATTGGTCCCAAAATTTTGATTTTTCTAGCAACAAACTGAATTTGTGTGTTAAATTTTAATTTCAAAAATTAATTTTTAACACCAGTATGAAATTTCTATTTGATTTTTATCCATTTGACAAAATGTTTAAATACCTTATTACCAAACTTTTTGAGCAGAAACACATAATAGTCTTTTCTCTGTTATTAATTTCAATGTTAGGTATTTTTTTAACTGTATTACATTATATATTTATAATATCCTATTAAACCACATGGCTCTTTAAATCTGAGATTTAGCATATTTGAGTATTTTTCAAGTAATAGTTGTTACATTTCTATTACAGAACAAAATCTTGGAAAACTGAAAAGAAGCATGGCTTAACCCTTTTCAGATCATTTTATTAAGAAAATAAGTATAAAAATATAAATATAAAACAATATGACTCAGCATTCAAATAGCATGAAAGCAGTGTGTGACAGTTTCCTACAACATACACTTTCCATTACATATTACACCTACATGATGAAATGAATTCACAGTTTGACAAAAAGAAACTCCACCAACCATTCACATGAACATTGTTCGTCAAACAGATATAGCAAATAGTTTATACGATGTCCATCATTAAAAACACTTTGTACATTTACAGTATTTAATGGAGTTGGCTGGAAAAGCCGTTGGACTCCTTTCCCCGTTTCCCACCCAAACCAAGCCGGCACCATTTAACATTGATAGTATACAATACTACTATCGTTCATGTTGATTACAAAACACATTATTCACACCATTGTTCACAAAAGTCCTAAAATTTAAAGGCATCGTTACTGATTATGACAAAAGAAAAAGCAAAAGACTGAGATTTATATTGGATCTGCTTTTAGAAAACTCACTTCAAGCCTCATTCTGTGTTCGAATTGTCCAATCGATTAAACATATCGGCGTTTTGTTCTGGTTTCAAACCAGTGAAAGGAAACCAGTTACATTTACCTCTGTAACTTTGTTGAAAAAAATGTACGTTTTACTTTTACTTGAGTAATTTTATTAATTATTCCTACTCTTACTTGAGTTAAATTTCCGAATTTTCTACCTACTGAGTGAAAAAAGAAAAGAAATTACCAGACACAGACACACACCTGCACTTTTAGCTGAAGTCTCATAAAGACTTTTATTGAAGGAAACTGATATGGAAACGATTCTTTTCCACCTACTTTATTATTGTTACTGATCATATATCACGGTAATTAATGTGGCAATTTCTTATTAAAATTTTGTGAACATTTTGAACATAGCTTTCCCATTTCCACCTAAGAATAGGCAAAATTGATTATATATATTACTTTAAAAGGCATCAAGCAACAATATTATCGTTGATCACGATAATTACTGGGACAATTTATCGTGGAGTAGAATTTTGTGAGTGAACATTTCGAACACAGCTTTCCTGTTTCCAGGTAAGCTTCCACATGAGGGTTTAATATAGTGCGCATGAGTTTGTGCATTTTCACGCACATTTGTAGGTGGAGCAAACAGACAACCAGTTGACTATCAAGCTAGCTAGCAAACTAGACAAACAGATAGCTTGATAGATATTAAGACAGACAGGCTAGTTAACTAACTAGACCGACTTGTGTCTGGCTAGCTAGTTAGCCGAAAGGACATTGAAAAGGAGTTTGGATTATAGAGAGACGGATGGCTTCGTTTAGGTCTCTCTGTCAGGGCTTCTCCCTATGTACATCTCCGCCAGCTTTTTGAACTGTGGTCCCCAGTTGCTGAGGTAATCGTAGTCGTGGTCGCCCTCGGTGGCGGCGGACTCCAGCGAGCTCAGGGACTCCGCCAGGGACCCGGTTCCCTCGTATGCGTAGGTCGCCAGGGAGTCGTAAGGGGGCGCCGTGGGGTCGGCGTCGTTCTCCTGCAGCCGCCCGTTTATGAAGTCTCTCACATCTGTGTTATCCTTTATTGGTGATGTCCTCCGAAACGGAAACAGCATTTCGGGTATGATGTCCCTGCGAAGCTTGTTAGCATCCATCACCTCCGGGTTGCGCAGCGTGCCGATATCAAAGGCCTGAGTGTCCTCCTCTCCTCCGCCCTCGTCGTTGTAGCTGACAACGTTGTCTCTGACATCCTCTTTGGAGATGATCAGAGGCTCCTTCTTCCTCTGTCTCCTCAGGGCAGCGAACAGCACCACGATCACTGCACAAAAACAGCAGAGAGGGAGCACAGAGCATAAGATGCGTGCCTCTGAACATGTGTCATGCATTAGGGAGCAAAAAGCAGAAGGGAGACACATTTGCTACCAGTGACAAATCCCTAACTCTGCCTCGGGCGTTCACCTCCTATTATTAAAGATTCAGTGGAAAAGCTTTTTCTTCCCCTTTTTCTCCTGAATGGCACTTTCACTTTATAAAATGCACCGCGGTTCGAGGATCCCATTTTACACTCGTCAGCGAACATCTTCACATTTCATCTTCGGGGGTGAAAACGTTGCCATGGATGCTGTTGTAGTTGAGCTGTGCAACGATTACAAATTTAGTTTTAACAATTTGCTGTTTTTTTTTTTACAAGATATCTTAACAGAACAAACAAACATGCATGCATAAATAATGCATTACTCACCCCGTTTTTAACAAAATGTTAACAAAACTGCCGTAAAAAAAACCCTACAAAACTTAGAATTCTGTGTATTTTACTGAAATTGTAACTTTAAACCACTTTAAAAAATACAAATACAATTTAGACTTAAAGACATAAATAAGAAACAAAGAAAATTAATTTATTCCTGTAGATGAAATATAAGTGTGTCCTGAAAATATTACAACTTTATTCCTGTAATGTTGCAAGTTTATAAAAATTTGACTTTATTCTCGTATTATTTCCATTCTACTCTGATGTGAGTTTATTCTTTATTTTTTTAAAACTTTTTCCCAGAACAACATCACTTTATTTCTGAAATATTATGACTTTTATCTCATTAATAATTTTTTTTTTTGGTTCGGCTCTTATACTCGATCTTAAATTTGTATTCTACTCAGATTAAGAAAAACACAGATATATGTAAGAATTTTTACCAGTGATGATGAACCTGATCAACAACTATGAGTTTTCAAATTAAATGCAAGGAAGTTTGTGTCGAAAATGTAAGAAAACATGTAAATATTTAAAGGGCATGAATTTGATGAAATGAGATTCTCCCTCTTCCTCTCTGGTTTTTCTCGTTTTCCTCCCAGTGGGCTCCACAGCGCTCTGCTTGCCTCCCACCTACGCGTTAATTGCAAAGCTTTCAGCATGGGCTGAGGCCGTTTCAGACATTAGGACATTTGTGACTGGCCAGTGCACGATTTCAGACAAAACATAAGTGCAGCTCCAGCTTCCTGCATTTCTGAGTCAAATGAAGGTGAATGAGACAGTCTGTCAGGGGGGTTTCAAAGGCAAAAAGCTTCAGATAATGAGCAGATGTCATGATATTTTGTTTGACATGAGAGGCATAAAAATTCAACCTTCAGTTCACTTGAGAGGCTCGTTGAGATCTGCCTACCGTATATTCGTTTATATATTTGGAATTTAAAATGCAGACAGATGGAAGAAGAGCTGGTCTTTTCTGAACTGCTTGTGTCAATAGTCTGGTCAGAGGAAAAATGAGGATAAAGATGGGGTCAGTTCAACACATGGAGAGAGTCAGAGTTTCTTATAAACAGCAGTGAGTACGCCCACACATGCATGCTAATTTATGAGGATCTTTTTCTGAAGTTATTGTGATTATTCTAACAACTTTTGCACAGCTTTTTTGCAACACGAAGAATTATTTTCTTTTTCTTTTGTCCAGGTGAATTAGGTTTTAGGTCTCATTTACTCTTTACTAGTTAGACAAATAAATAAGACTAAGAAGCCCCAAAATATTCTGAGGTCAGATGGTTTATTTAGGCCAAAGTAAACAGAAAAAAAGGAGTTGATTTCTGCCCAAAAAATAAATAAATCTAAGATTTGAAAAGAAAAACTCAAATTTGAGATTAATCTGAGAAATTCTGAGTTTAATCTCAGAAATTTTGTAGAAAAAAACTGAAAATTTCTGAGTTTCAAGAGTTGACAATGTTCTAGAAAAACACAGATATGTTTAGATTAATCTGAATAAGTTTCTGGAAAAAATAAATAAATTCTGTGCTCCAAAAGTCTAAAGAATTGCAAGGAAAAACTAAAATCTTGAGATGTAGAGACATTTGTGTGGGGGGGAAAACTTGCATCTAAAAAGTAGAAGATAAAATCTCACATTAAGATGAAACTCAGAAATTTCCTGGAAAATTTAAATTCACTGGAAAAGACTCTTGAAAATAGTCTCAAACATTTTTGAGAAAATTTCAGATTTGCAAGAAGAAACTCAAAAAACTTTGACAAAAAAAACTTTAATTTGAGTTTCAAACATGTAAAGATTTCACCCAGATGTTAAGCACTCTCTTTTGTTTTCACAGGAAATCTTTTTATCTTTGTGAACTTTGTGTTTCCAGATCTTGACTATAATGACAAAAGAATGACTGTTCTGAGTTGGAGGTTTTGCAAAAATTGCTTATTCAGCATTTAGATTGCTGAATAAGCAATCTGAATGCAACACTTCCCTTTGTATTTATGTAATTTTTGCAGCACAATATTCACTTTTGCTTTGTGCAACTTTGTGTTGCTTTTCCACATGAAATCTCAATAAAAACTGGTTGTAATGTGACAAAATGTCAAATTCAGAGGGTCTAAATACCTTTACATGCGCTATATAATTTGGGGATTAAAGTGTGTCAGTTTACTGGAGCAAAGGAGAAACCATCGTCCCTCCTGAGAGTGTCTGTATAAATTGTGCATCGGTGTGAAATGTAAAATCTGCAGTTTGAACTCCTGTTTTCTTTAGAAACTTGATTGGATTTTCTAAGCCCTTTTCATCTCTGCCTTCCTACCTTTTTCATCTACGATGTGCGGCTTATGTGGAAAAATAAGATAGGCATGAATTTTAAGTGAAACACAGGGCAGCTGCCTCACAGTGAAATGGTCCGGCAATGCATATAAATAGCTCGCTATTTTCAGGCGCGCATTCGCTTGTCATTGATACGCATTTTACATGAAATTTTGCACAGTTACAGTGACTTGCCAAAAGGTTGGAACAATGTGGAAGCGAAGGACTGGATGCTTTATGTTATGTAGCGTTGAAGAGCATCAGCTAAAGGATGCACAGGGTTTTGTAATTCTGCAGGCTTCTATTTGTTTTGAAAAAAATGACCTGTGATGACCTCTTATGACCTTGACATGTATGAGTCGAGCTGCAGCAGTTTAGAGAAAACACTGTAAAATTTCAGCAATAATCTCTAAATGTAATAAAATGCTGTCATTTCCAATCACAGGTGGATATTTAATCTACCTCTATTCCTGTTATAAACGTAAATATTACACTTTATCACTCAGTAAAGCTCTAATTTGTGTAAAATTTGTGTTTCTCCTCTTGTATTGGTACAAACATAACAGAAGTTCCTTATCCCAACTTATTAGATCAGTAACGTGTATTTTGATCAAATACAGTTCAGATAAAATAAAAAAAAAACTGGAAAAACATAAACCATGTGAAAGTAAAGACTTCTGACTGTAACACCACTCCAAAAGTAAACTGTTGTTACTTTGTAACGACACCATAGTGTACCTGTGGCGTTACTGACGTAACAGGTCACACTGTTATGTCACATTGTAACTCCATAGTGTTTTAAACTGTAACTGCAATGTAACATTGTAACGTTCCACTATTATGATGTATCATAATTGAAATTTTAAGTCTCACATAAAATAATTTTGATAATTTTATCTGACTGTATTTTGATATTAGGCTTATGAAAATATCTGTAAATTTAGTTTTTTAATCAAACATTAAATTAAACCTTGAAAACACCTTTTAAAATTTTAAATCTTCCAGACCCTGAAAACGTGCAGATCTGACACCAACGATGGATTAATTTCCTCTGCTGCCACAAACCATCACAGACGCGCGGGTGGGTGGGTCGTCCAGGCGTATACTTACTGAGCAGGATGATCACGCAGAGCAGGATGGCCACCAGCGCTCCGGTGGTGAGGCCATCTGAGAAGGGCAGCACCTCCGGGCTGCAGGACTGCATGTTGCCGCGGCTGTCGCAGGCGCACACGCGGACCACCAGCGTGCTGGTGCTGCTCTGGATGGGGTAGTCGTTGTCGGAGATCACGACGGGGAGGAAGTACATGCTCATCTCACGCCGGCTGAACCCGCCCCTCCTCGTCAGGATGTTGGCAGTGTTGTCTGCAGGAACACGGAGATGGTGAAACCAACGGCTTTCCTCTTGTCACAAATGTTTGAGATAAAAACTGAGAATATATAAGTTGTGACCTGTTATGCTTCATTGAACAGGTTGGGATAGATCCATGAGCGAAACGACACATTTCATCACCTTTTGCACAAAATCATTCTTTGGTAATGAGATTTTTACAACGCCGTCTTCCACCAAAACACATTTTCAGATAATTCTCAGAAAGTTTCAGGATTATACAATGCAATATCTGAGTCTGAAATTTGAAACATGAAAGAGTATAATCTAAAAAAAAAAAAAGTGGAAATTTCTAGCAAATTTTTGGGAGAACAATATTTTGAGTTTAATTTGACATTATCTAGAGAAAAATTCTTGGTCAAAAAATAAAAAATTTGCAAGAAAAAAATAGAAATTTTGAGACTGATCTCAAATTTTCTAGTAAAAACTGTGAATTTCAGTTTAAAACATTGAATATTTAGTTTATATTAGTTTGTTTTCCAAAATTTTGAAAATTTATCTAAATGTTTTACTTTTTTTAGCAGCAATTTTCTCCTTTTTGTTACATTTATATAATCTACATAAATAACCAAACAGTTTCTTTTTAATCATAGCAGCTTCTTATTAGATATTCCATCCAGGAAGAAGAGCAATTGAAATTGCAGGAAGCTCCAGCGAGTTTGTGTTTCTGTGTTTCTGGTACAAATGTCACTGAATGTGTGCTGGGAGCCGAACTTAATCCTACCGTCCTTGTCAACGATGGTGAAGTTTGGGTTGGTGGCGCTTATGCTGAAGACAAACTTGTGCCCGACAAGTGGTTCATCTGTGTCAACAGCGCTGATTGTCTGAATCAGCTGCACAGGGAAACAGCAAACATTGAGTATTAGGCACGAGAAAACATCCATAATTCTTCTTAATACCGGGGGTTTATTGGGCATGTGATGCGCAAATAAAACATTTATGCATGAATCTTGTAATACAGTGATCATACTACAACCTCCTGCAAAAGGGTTTCAAGTCACAAAATTGATTTTTCCTCTGAAAATGGTCAAAAAAGGAAACTTATTTCGATGTAAAGTTTACTCAAACGTAAATACAGTGTCCAGCTCTCTGTGGAAGACGAATCGAGTTTATATTTTAACAGATTTCATTCACCTGTCCTGCCTTGACATTTTCACAGACAAAGGTGTCGTAGGACATGGCGAACTCTGGAGCGTTGTCGTTGACGTCCAACACCTTGATGAACACGGGCACTCGAGTCGTCTGCCGAGGGTTGTCTGAAACACAAAAAATAAATTTTGTCACGTATTTCAGGACTGAAGAGAGCTGTTTGAGGACCTGAGGGAGGAAGTTACTTATTTCGGTGGCCACCACAGAGATGTTGTGCCATTTGGACATTTCTCTGTCGAGGGATTTCAGTGTTGTGATGGTGCCGTTTACAGAATCTATGTTGAACAGCCTTTCAAGATCCGTGTGTCGGTCAATGGAGTATCTGCAAGAGGGACACAGACGTCGTTGTCAGCAGTAGATTTAAAAATGCGGAGTAGCCGCTGCTGTCTTCTACACAAAATTTTTTGTTAAGGTTTTGCACTGAGAGTCAAAGTGTTTTTCGTTCATATTAAGTGGATTTTTTTTTTTGGAAAACTGCAATGGAAACAAATTGTTTTGCATTACGAGTCAATTGCAAAAGCATTGGGTTGTTACTACTGTCAGAAACGCAGAAGAAGACAGAAAGTCCACATTAGCAAAATATAGACAAAAATATTTGCATATTTGGAATGGAAGTGCAGCAACTATTAGCCTATTTTATACAATACTAGACACACATTAAAAGATGAACATAAACAAGTATGTCATTTCCTTTTTTAAATTAAAAAAAATTACATTTTATTGGAAATAACAGCATTTTTTTACTAAATGTTTTTTATATTGAATGAATTATGAGTGTGTTGTTCCATCAGCATATGTCCTTTTTGAGTCCTTCTACCCCAGTTAACAATACATTGATTACTTAAATAGTTGATTGTTCCACTAATCGATTATTCATGATTAATTGTTTCAGCCCTAGATAAAGTGTATTGTGAATTGTGGCAGTAATGTGATAAAAATGTGAAAGCGTTCCAAGAGGTCTGAATGCTTATGAAACATTACATCCAAAGTCTTATTTTCATTTTAACTGGAAAAGAAGAATCCTTTTAAATATACCCTGGACGATGCTGAGTTGTAATTGAAATTTCTGGCTTTAGGCTGAATGTTGGGTTTTGTTTGTTTAATTTGCATAGATTTGTTTTTTAGAAGTCAGAAAAGAAAGAAGAAGAAAACGTATTCTCTTTTGTCAAAAGATGACGCCTCTCTTTTTTGTCCTGGAGTCGGCTCATTTGTCATTGTCACCTCTCATGCTCAGCCGAGATTTGAATATGCAACACGAAGCGCTGCGTGGTGTGCCACATCTCCTGCGACGGGGGACGGGCGGCTGCCATATGTGCGCCGAACGGTTTCTGTGACCCACGCGAATCAATACGGCAAATTAGGAATGTTTGACTTTGCGCGGCGCCGTGGAGGGAGCTTACATGATTCTGGGAAATAAACACCGTCTGTATTCACTTCGCTGTCTTCCATTGGGAAATCTCCAGTAGGGACCTCATGAATAACACTCCTTCTCTCCCCTGTCGGAGCACTGACACGTGGGCGGGTTGATGGATTAGATAAACCTGGTGGGCACATTTTCATCTTCACTGCATAAAACTGACAAGGAGACTGTAAATCCACCATATCGCACTTCTTTCTGTATTGATTTTTTTCGTTTTTGCTGGTATAATTGAAGAAGGGGGAATGAATTTCGAAGAGCTCAAATTCGGAGAATGAAGCAGAAAGCCCACTTGGTTGTCGAGGAAATGTTTGCTTAGCGGTCTATTGATCCGGCCTTAAGTTTATAGAATGAAGCTGATCTCATTTCATGCAGTTACAGTAACTCACAAAAGTATTCACACTGAAAAAATCAATGCATTTCATGAGGTTTTCATCTTGTAAATCGACATAATAGAATGGAATATTCTTTATTGTCCCACCATGGGATTGGTGTGCAGCTATTTAGCTCTATCATCTTAAAAAAGTGACCTGTGTCTCTTTATAAGGAAACTTCGCTTTGACTGAATTTTTTAAATATAAAACACTAAAGTTCACTATAAATTTTTGATAGAATGTGTTAATAAAGGAATGAAGGACACGAAGTGAAGTAAAGGGTAGAAGGTAAAGAAGGAAGAAGAAAAGAAGTGAAATTAGTTGTTGATCATCTCAATAATCCATTAATAAGATGAATAATTTCACTCTTCAACAGGTGAAAAGTTCAGGTTTTTCTGCTTGAGTTAACATCACATACAGTGAAGAGCTTATCTGATTATTTGATTAACTGACAAATAATTAGAAGAGAAAAGGCGCTTAAATTTTTAATCATTTAAACCAGGTGAAGCTAAAACTGCAATATGAGGTACTTTTACACAAAGTAAGTTTATTTCTGTCTTAAATGCAAAAGTATATATTTGCGCAGTTTTAGATTAATTACTGTAGTTTCGACAAATGAGCTTTTCTTTATCTAGTCCAGTTAATGATTAATCAATCACTAAATCAGTTGATAATCACTTTTAGTAATCGATTAATCACAATTAGTCTAATTGAAAAGTTAAGTCCTTTCTGCTTGACTTATCATTATTATAATGTAGAGCTGATCTGTTGATTATTTGATGTACTGATTAACAACAGCAAATATTGCTTAATAGATTAAAAAAACAGTATTTTAAATGCAAAATGTTTATTTTTGTAAAGTTTTAGTTTAATTACTGCTCTAAGTATGTCATTAAAGGAAATGGGTCTTTTTTTGAGTCAGTATACTCCAGTTAACAATTAATCGATCACTAAAATAATTGACGATTATTTCAGTAACTGATTAATCACAACTAATAATTTCAGTCCTACTTCTGACATCATGTTAAAAGCTCAGCCCTTTTTGCTTGAATTAACATCAACACAGTGTAGATATAATTAGTAGATTATTTTTGACTAATAATTGGTTAGCAAAAGGTATTTCATAGGAGATTTTTTTTAAAACTGGATTTCAACCAGGTGAAGCTAAAACTGCTACTTGAAAACTTCTGGGTAGAACATATTTACAGATATGTTCTAGTTTTGGAACAGATAAAAAACTTATTTAACTCCATGCACTCCAGTTAATGATTAACTGACAATAACTGTATAATCACGATTAATCGTTTCAGTCAAATCCAAAGCCTGTAAATCCTGAAGATAACTTATGTGGGATTCTTATTCTGAGAAACGTACTTCACTGGCTTGTTTTCTGCGTCAGGATCTCTGGCCAGCACAATGCCGACGAAGCTGCCGGCGGCCGTGTCCTCGTGAACTTCGATGATGTAAGGGTTGCGGGCGAAGACGGGTGGCTCGTCCACATCCTCCACCGTCACCTTGACCGTGGCGTAGTCTTTGAACTGCACGCCGTGGATGAACCTGGCGTCTAAGTAGGTGTTTTTCACCTCCACTCTGAACTCGTAGTCCCTCTTACTTTCATAATCCAGCGCCTGGAGATGAAAGAGCACCAGAGAAGGAAAGCTGTAGACTTTTCCATTTAAAAGAGAAAGCCTGCCTCCGGGATTTTGATATGCGATTCATTGAGTTTCATTTGTCTGCCTTTATCTTACTGCCTCTCTAAATTCAGAGTAACAAATCCAAGTCAGGAATACTAGAAGATCTTAGGGGAAAACTAAAGAGAGTTTGGTGCAAAAGGCTCCTTTATATTATTCATTTTACAGGCGTATGATATCTGATTTTACACTGCGCTTCAAAAATAAATCCTGTCATATCTTTTTTGCATGAATAAATGTTTTCAGGGGGCCATTTTTTCTTAGTAAGAATATAATGCTGGGGTTAAATGTTCTGTAATGTTGGGAGGGAAACGTTTTGTAAATCCAGGGTGGCTCAAAAGATGGCAAAGGTTTGACTAGAATGGAAATATGCAATAAGTTTCCAGTTCATTTCAATCCCAAGATATTTAGAAACATACTAACAACTCTTAAAACATAAAAAAAAAAACTCTAATTTTGTCTTGTTACAACCACAAACTTAAGTGTCTTTTGGTTATTTCCTGTGAAAAACAAATAAATAAATAAATCACAAAGACAAACATAATTAGGATTTAGGTGGAAAATAATTCATTTTATGTATCAACAAACCAAAAATCATTGCTAACCCCAGGCTGAAAACAGACACACTCAATAAATTAGAATATTATTAAAGTCTGTTTATTTCAGGAAGCTTATCTCAAATTGAAACACATTATAAAAGATGAAATGCACTAAGATGGATGTTTGAAACTTTTTATACTGTTAATTATCATTTTTCACTTACAGTTACAGTTTTGGCTTCATTAGTACTCTGAATATTTGTTTGAATACGATTAATTAATTAAATTAGTTGACAATTATTTCAATAAGCAATTAATCACAATTAAGACAATCACAATTAAGACAATTAATCACAATTAAGACGATTAATCATTTCAGCCCTAACTGAATTACACCCATCTGACTGCAATGGATTTAATCAGATTTAAAAATACAGCATGTATTGTGTAATATTTCTTCATGTCATAGTAATCCACTACTTAAAATCCAAGTAAAATACATGAAGTTCTGAGTATAACATGACAAAATGTGCAGAAACTTGTATTGGACGGGACGATACCTTTTTGATAACGATGATTCCTTCCTGCGTTGCTTGGTCAGTGATGATGTTGAAAGTGTCATGGCCGCCAACGATGCTGTACTCCATCTCAGCGTTGAGGCCCACATCGGGATCATCGGCCTTGATGCGTCCGATGGCGCCACCTATCTCCGTAGACTCCACTGTAGTCACTCTGAAGGAATCTAAATGAAATTTAAATCTCAGCTTTTCAGCGTTTTAAGCCTCAGTTGAGTTAGTGGAGATGTATTGGGAGGTCCTTACGGTTGGCGAAGCGAGGCGGACTGTCGTTTACGTCAGAGAGGGTGATGCTGACTGTCGTGGTCCCTGAAAGCCCGCCCATCTGTCCGGCCATGTCTTTGGCCTGAATTACAACCTGGTAGTGCTCCTTCACCTCTCTGTCCATGCCAGGTAGAGCCGTCTTTATGGTTCCTAGGAAGAAATGTATAGATTTTATTATAGTTATATGATGATTGGATGAAATCTCAAAGGAAATTAGATTACTGACAAGGTTAGAATCCATGCTTGGTTATTTCTAATACCAGATGTCTAGATGAATACAAATAGTATATGCTCCAGAAGTATATCAATGCAGAATATATTGAAATATTCTAAACTTTAACATTTTCTGCAGCTTTACCCCAAATTGCTTTTAAATTCCTGTTTGCATGCTAACAAAAATTCTGGCAAAGTGAACTCTGGCACAGTTCGAATGCATACGTGAACACCAAAATCAGGAAGTGGATTGTACTGCACGGCATTCTTGGTAAGCTGCATCAAAACTGTGACGAACTAGATAGAGAAATGACTTATGGTCTTTAACCAACGACAGAAGAAATCCTACAAACACAACAATTTGCTGCCACTCTTTTTGTTTACATCTCAACAAGAAGAAAGTTGCGCTCAGTGTCTTTTTCTGAGGTTGTTTCCTTCAGTAGTTCTTGGTTTAGCGCCCCCACAGGAGAGGAGGGGAACAGGTTTGTTCAAAAAGTTAAGTTGCAAAGTGAAAGCGAAACGCAGCAGCTGAAAATGCATCAAATGCTGTAAATTTGGTCCCGTTCGAACCGAATAACACGCACCATCAAGTGTAAAAACATCCTAAGATTGCTTAAAAGGTTAAAATCTTATTTTACATTGCTTAAATTATTGTCTGATCTCCTTAATGTTGTTTTTTATTCAGTTTTGTGATACAATTCATGGAAATCTCACAAATGCATAATTTCTCCTGGGATTAGAAAGGCATCAGAGACCTTGCCGGGTTTGTCTCACCGTTTTCTGAGTCCACAGAGAAATATGGCTGCCCCTGCAGGATGCTATAGACCAGCTTGGCGCTGTTTCCGTATGTTTGATCATCGGCGTCACTGGCAGTCACTGTGACCACAGACGTACCTGTGAAATGCAAAGAAGATACACACACAGTCGAGTTCAGCTGCTTGTAATGCTATGATCAAGAGACTCAGTCAACTTATTTTCTTGTTTGCTTTCAATTTGCATGGACTGGCTGCAGGCCTCAGAGCGCTTTTCAACCATGCAATTTTTTCCCCAGCTTTTAATACCAGCCATGCCCTCATGTTACTGTTTCAACCAGTCGCCAGTGACTAATCTTTAGTGACTAGATGGCCTGAAAACAGGGCTGGAGTTTAGTTTCTCCTGGCACCTCAGTGATTAAACCCTGTTTTTTTTTTTCATATTTCATTTGTTCTGTTCCTTTGAGCTTTGGTGAGACTGAAGCAAGCAGCCAGCTGTCGAAGCTAATGCATTTAGTTAAAAAGGACAAGAGTTGAATATAGATTTTGACAAACTAATTCAAGTTAAATGTATTATGAAGTATTAGGGCCATACTAAGATTCTTTTTAATTTATAAGAATAAAGTCACAATATTATGAGAACACACATAAAAAAATAAAGTTGTGATATTATGACGTTATTATGGTAATATTATCAGAATAAGACCGTACAAGAATAAAGTTGAAATACTTCAATTGACATGCTTTGAGAGTAAAGTAGTATTATGAGAATGTCATATAAGAATAAAGAGTAAATGAGTAAAGTTGAGTAAAATCGTATTAATATACCTAAAATAGATGAGATGCAAGTTTGCATAGTAGGCAATAAAATATTCATTTTACTATTTAAAAAAAGAAACAAATTGTTTTATTTTAATATTTTATTCTATAAATTTTATAAAAATGCTCAAGTGGTGAAATGAAAAATCAGAAGAATGCAGCAAATTCTTTCTCCGATTAATCAGTTAATCGTCAGAACAATCGATTAATCTGTTCCATTTTTGTCATCTGCTCCTGGGATCAAGATTTTTGAAAATTGACCTATTGCTTCAGTAGCTCACATATTTTTATATGTAGTGCTTTACAATTTCAAACCTAAAAGCAAATAAAAGAATAATTTTTTATTCAATTGTTTGCTTTACCGGCATAATAAATATGGTGTTGGCAACATAAACAGTTATTTTCTTACTGAGAAAGGTAACTGAACTGTTAATTTGCATCTTTTATAATGTATATAATGTATAAAAATGTATAAAAATGTGGTATATTGCAAAACAATCTACAGAATGTGGCATTGTTTTCATGCAATTAATCGATTATGCAGATGATTAATCAATTAGTCGGTTCCAGTTTTGTTTTGTTGGGGTCAGAGTTTATCAAGATTTCTTCTTTGGAGAACATTTGAAGTTGATCTTTTGATTTAGTGGCTCATAAATTTTAAAAATTAATGCTGTACAATTTCAAACACGAGAACAGATGAAAGAATAATTTGGTTTAGGATAATTTTTTTTGTTTGACAACCATAATAAATAGGACATTCCACCATTTTTGCTCAAGGTTACCACACAATCTGAATCTCATGGTGTAGAAAAACCAAAAAAATCAAATAAGTGAAAGTCACAATGAGCTCAGCTCCTCTTAGACATCCAAACACTGAAATCGCCTCAGTAATAAACTCCACTTTATCCAGCCGAGCGTTTCAGCAACCCACACTGCACATACTGTCCTTGGCATTCAGGAGACCTCTGCCATGTCCTGTTTGGGTCTGACTGTCTCTGTGCATACTAATGATCCCCTGAACATCTGTCTCACTTAGTTCCTCCACCGATAGCGTAAAGGGAAGAGGGGGTTGCTGATTCTCCATGGCTGGCTGCCTTGATAAAGTAACGTGTTCAGTTTCAACATGTGAGGCAGCTTATTAGTCCACAGATGAGTAGCGGTGACCCTGACACACACCTCTCCCCCGCAGCCTGTGCAGCTGGGAAAACGGAGGACACCCATTTATGAATTCCAAATTGAGTATTGTTATTTGTCATAAAGGCAATTGGTTTTTTGATTTACCCCTGATTGCTCCTGTGTATTAATTTGCAGCTTGGTAATTGAGGATTGATTTCAGCTTGCATGCATTATTTTCATAAGCTTTGTTTATATTCAAGCCAACCGATTTATTCCCATTACTTGAATTCGAATGGAGTGCAATGAAGCAAACACTTAATTGGAAAGACTGTGACAATCTAAACTTTCAATATTTCAGCTGCCTATTAAAAATGGCAAATGGCATTACTTAATATGAATGCCCAATGAGGCTGACCAAACATAGCAGTCAGAAAACTGTAGAAAAGCTGCACATTATCCCAGTAACTTTTCTCATCTGCATTTAAAAACTGCTTTACCATGAAGTCACAATAAAAGCTGGACAATAAGTTATTGCAATAAATGATAATAGTGTTGTTTTGAAACCATTTTTAATGGGTTAATAATGCAAAAAAATCCTCAACAATCAATAAGGTTGAAATTCCAATTAACATTTAACCCTTTAAGGTTTCAAGTCTCCATCTAGATATTTTTGCCTATTTTAATTGTATGCTGTTCTTTAAATGTCCTGAGTAAATATTTTTGCCTATTTCTCCATAATAGCTGGAACTTTCAATCTCTAGCAGTTATTTTTTGCAATTTAATGTTTATTAAAAGAACATTTCATCAGAGTAAACCAAAGAAAAACATACTCCCTGTAACGGCAGGAGTGAAATTACCGTAATAACCTGATACAGGCTGGAAAGCGTAACGTCTCCCCTTTTCAGAAACCATTGGAAATTGTCAGATAGCTCAAAGTATGGCAGAGTTAGGGTACCACAAAGTTGGCGACATATTTTGGCCGACATTGGAACTGGGAGAAATTTTAAATGAATAAACAAAACAATAGAACAAATAAAAATGGAAAAATTGTCCTTCAAAAAAAGGGCTAGTTGAGACCAAAGCACCAAACTGAAGAATTTTTTCATCCCATTTTTGGTAGAAAGAGAGAAAAAAGAGAAAAACTCTACATCATGCAAATGAGCTCATCTCAATTTATCATGCAATTAATTGATTTATTGCTCATTGCAACACTCCTCCTTATCATATTCTATTCAATCAGTACTGACCACCCATAACATTATGACCGCTAGGCTGTGAAATGAGCAGTGTTATGTTTGCCTTGGACTTGTGGTTCATCCAAGTAGCAAAGGGGCCATCATCAAAACGTTGCAGGCAGGGATCAAAGAATACAGAAAGAGAGAACGGAGGTGCTCATCCAAGCCCTCGACCTCAATAAATCCAAATCTGATGCAATCTAATGGCATCTGCAGGAAGCAAGGCGAAACCATCCAGCAAATCCACAGGGCCCAAAGGATCTAACGCAAACTTTCTGGAACAAGAAACTTACAGGGACCCATGCTCTAACAGCCTAAAGTTAATAATATGGCGAAAAGCCTGACTTACTTTTATGCAGCTTTGATGTAGTTTCTATTAATATTAATCACAATATGAGTGACAAAATACTTTCCCTGTAAAATGAAATGGTTTTCTGTTTGTCTGCAACACTTTCGAGGTACCGTCTGTGCAGATTTCTGTCTGTTTTAGGGCTTCAACTAACGATTAATCGATTATTCTGATGATTAATCAATTATAAAATTGGCATATTCCAGACTTTTCATTTAATCACTTAAAACTTCTTAGTGCCTCGAGAGCAACAGCACATTCCTGTCGTGAAGCTGAAACTGCAGTCCCAGCCTGGCTGTCTTCTAAAAGAGATTTCCTTTGATTTACAGACAAAAGTATTTTTATTCTAAATGCAAATGTATATTTCTTGTATAGTTTTGACTTAACTACTGCTCTGACTGAATATGTTGCTTCAACAAATACATTTTTTTGAGTCTTTACACTCTAATGATTCATCGACTACTACATGAGTTGATGATTATTTCAGTAATTGATTAATCACAATTAATACGATTATTTGTTTCAACCCTACCTTAGCAGTGCTTATTCTAGTGACCTTGAACATTTTCATATTTTACGCTATATTTTATGTGTCTGATTTGCAGCAAATTACAGCTGCTGTTTCCTTGATAAATCTTATGATTCGAGACAAAAATGTTATGATTTTAATTGATTTCACAATAAACTTCAGTTATTGATGTTAAATAAATAAAACAAAGTATGTTATTTTGCTATTCACTTTAACTTTGAAATTCATATCAGATTTTCTGAACTTTCTGTTAAATTTTTTTTATATGTAAAAAAAATGAAACATTTTCTAGAGAAATTTTTACATTTTTCAAAAGTTTGATATTTTGTCAGACACTTGGAAATTTCTGTTTAAAATGTTAAAAATGTTTGAGATTAATCTCAAATTTTTCCAACTCTTTCTTGCAAATTTTCAACTTCTGAAGCTCAGACATTTCCTATTTTTTCTAGAAAATTTGAAATTTGAGATTGAGAAATGTACTTCTTTTTCTGCCAACATTGACCCTAATATGCTGTCATAAATATCAGTCAACATGATTTTTGCGTTAGATAATATTTAGCATGTTTTCACAAACTGCTGTTTTCTCTACGATCTTGTTTAAGATAAAAAATTTTTTTAATTAATGGAACAGCAGCACAATAAAAATTTGATAATACAGAAAAAGTGACATGCGACTTGTGCAAAAACCAAATTTTTCAATCCAAAGCCAATCAGAAACATGATCACAAACTTTCAGCATACTCTAATAATAAGAGGACACTTTGAAAATTTAAATTTCTCATGTCCCGCCATATTCAGGAATTATGCTTTGTTGTGACTTTGTTTGTCAGATTGGGGCCGTGTTGCCTAATAATCAAATGAATCTGCATGTTTTGTATAAATAGTTGCAAAATTAATTTTCTCTCAGAACCAAAAACTCACCAACTTCAGACATTTCAGGGACGCTGGCGTAGTACACTTCCTTTTCAAATCTGGGCGCGTTGTCGTTGATGTCGTGGATTTTTATGTTAAATTCTGTGTCAGGTTCGAGTTCTGCGTTCGTGTTTCTGTCCAAGACCTTGGCGTGAAGCGTGTACATGGCTTTCTCTTCCCGGTCCAGCCGCTTGGTGGCGTGGATGTCTCCGGATTTCTCGTCGATCAGAAACAGGGTTCCAGCCCCGTCTCCGGTCAGGACGTACTTCACGGTGCCGTCGCCTTTGTCCGCATTAGAGTGCAGCTGGAAATCAGAAGACAAGTTTGTTCAATACAGAGAATACATTTTAGAAAGTTATTCTGTTGGACTAAACGGCATCAATTTAATTATGGGAATGTTTTTTTTGCCTCTCTTTTTAACACAAGTTAGTTAATATGGGGCTGGACAATATGGCTGATAAACATAACACTATATTACATCAGTCAATAGTGATAATTATCTTGTAGTTTCTTGGTATAAATATTTGCCAAACATTTGGGAGAATATAAGGGCCACTGAAAAACATTCCTGACTTTAATCTCAGAATTCTGAGAAAAAAAGTTTTAATTGAGAGAATAAAGTCAGAATTGTTTTTTTATTGGCCCTCGTCCTCTTCCATATAAACTAGCGGCGTGACCTTTTCTGCTTGATCCTGTTTTCACTCCACGCTCTTATTTTTAAGCAGTTATAAGGCTCGGTGCCAAAACCTGAACCAAAGAGAGAGTGAGGTAGTTGATTCCACCAACCTTTATAACCTGTCAGAGGTTGAGCTAAGTAAACATTTTCTGCCTGCATCTCCCAGAATGCAGTGCGGTTCTACATCAGTGAAATTACTGAATATTCTGTCACAATATATATTTTTATCGGTTTATTATCCAGCTGCAGGTTAATGCATATTTTTATAAATATTCTGTTTGTCAGAAATGCATTGCTATGTTTCTATTTTTGCAGCAATTTGGAGAAGGGCTGCAAACAACGATTAACAAATAACAAGTAAATGATAACTACTTTAGTTGATGATTATTTCATAAATAGATTAATCACAAATAATCAGATTAATAATTTCAGTCCTAATTTTGAGTATAAATTAGTTCTATTACCTGTAAGTTCCACACATTTTAACACAATACAGTGCTTAATTTTTAATTCAATTTGACATCGTAGTACTGGAATATGTCCTTCGCTGTTTTACAAACCTACATCTGATCTATAAATAAAATCTTTGAAACATTAGCATTGCTATTTAAATCATAGTTTTTAACCTCTGATGCCTTTGTTTTAGCAGTTTAAAAATAAAAAGCCAGGCTGTGTTAGAAACCCCAATCTAAGAGGTTCAACAGATTGGCTCTTTTATTTTTGATGGACTTGATGGACTTGGACTTGAATCTTCAAGGCATATAAAGATGATTACAAAGTCAGCCTTTTATCACCTGAGGAGAATTCCTTGCATTAATGTCCCAAGAAGATTTTGAGAAGCTTGTTCATGCATTTATTTTAGCTAAAAATAATTACTATATGAATATCTTCACAGATCTGTCTAAAAAAAACACAGTTACAAGCAAAAATAGAGCACATTACTCCAGTTTTACAGTTATTACACTCTGTAATAACACACAGGGAGCCAGAGAATAAAGTCTATGCTCTGCTGAGAGAACAGACTTTAAATTTCTCAATTAGTTTATAAATTATTCAGTGGTTTAACACCAAACACATTATAGGTCTGTTCTTGTAGTATCAGCCTTCAGGCCTCCAAACATGGAGAAGCAGAATTCAGTTGTAATTAATCACAAATCTGAAACTTCCAGGAAACTGAAAAATGTCACAATTTCACCAAAAATTTGTGTCTTCTCTTTTTGTTCTGGGCTTGACACACACTTATCGTACCAAAACAAATTTTCTCTTGATTTGGGACCTAAAAATGTGCTATTTAATTAAATTCTTACTTATTTTATTTACTACACCTATGTTATTCTGATACTCAGAAATTTATGCAACTCATGCCTAATTCAAATGTTTTAACGTCCTTTCAAATCTTTTCGAATATTCTTCAGCTGTTTCACGGTGGTGCATAAAAGCTGCAGAGAAGCCCCTTGTGAGCGATGAAATAATGATGTAAACCCACCAAGGAATCGGTCTCGGTCTCTAAATCTTCGCCTCCCTCTGCGGCGAGGGCGCCATCGCTCATTACTCAAGGTCAAATTATGCCACGATTTCTCTCCCAGATTGGGCCTTTTAAAAAAAATGAGGAAAGTCTGACCCAGAGCAACAAATGCTAAAATTAGTCACCTCTGACCATCGATCACCTTGAAGAGCCTGACGGTGTCGGCGAGGAGTAATGGCGCCATATTGTGACAGACACTTGATTCAAGCTCATTACTGCGCCGGATCTGTCAGCAGATATATTTAGAGCACTATCTCATGGGCTCACATTTTAAATGACAAGGAGTTAGGGACGCGGAGTGTACCTCGGCAGCTTATTAATATTAATGCCTGCATGCTGCGCGGGGAAGTAATTATTTTTTTTCCTCCTGCGTATGGAAGAAGCGATGCCAACAGCACAACTTTTGGATGGAAATCAGAAAAACGCAACACCAAGCCGGTCCGCCGCCGTTCCCGGGGAGGCATTAGAGAACGAGGACGACGTTCGAAAACAAGACGCCGTCAAGTTCAAATGAGCAGTATACATGGGATTTGGCTCTGCATTTGAAGAAAATTTCATGCAGATGAACCCTATTATTCCAAGTCTATTAAAGAAGGATATCAGTCCGCATGAATGTTTACTTATTCATTGTTGTGAATTTGAATTCCCTCCTGAGCTTTAGGCCAGTGAACCAAGGATTTAAAACGGGACGCTATGGATGTAAAAGCTCTCGCTGCCATTGACTGTAATTTATGGGACAATTTAAGCAGGTAGGAGAGTATTTGTATGAATTTCTTGCCCCCGAAACAGGCGTCTCATTCCAGATAAAAAACCAAACGGGGAGGACAGGAATTGCAAATTAGCCGGCACTAGAAATGCAACAGTGCGCAGTATTTGTTAATGCAAACCACATAAAAATAAATGAGAAGCAAACACAGAAGCACCTTCTTCCTCTTAAAAACTCATAATTCAACAGTAATCCTTCATCCTGTACTTTGAAACCAAATGTTTATCTTGGGTGTTGCGTGTAGGAGGATGCTGATCTCCTCAGCAACATGAGAGGAACATATTTCATCAACGTTATTCAGAACTGGGACTCTTCAGACTTCACTTAATTAGGCCAGAAGAATTTCAGACCACAGGAGTTGCCTTTTTTTCTCCCTCTAAAGCTTTTGATTATATTTTTGCACTGATTTTTTTATGTGATCATTACCATATTTCCCTGTCTGTGTTGCTAATCCTGCAAAATAAAAATGAATATGAGAATAACAAACAAGCAGCCATCAAAGACGCCTGTACTTTACCAACAGAGCAAACATGCTTCCATAAAAACATCCACCAGTCTTTAGAGAAACTTGTATTTTTAAATAGTGTTGGTGAAAGTTTTCACACCCAAATGAACTTTTTAACATTACAATAAAAGTTTAATGCTGACTTTCCATGTTCAGATGATTGATTCAATGAGATGTCAAAAGTTTGGGATATTATTTTACAGCTTAACTCTGCAAAGATTTGTAATGGAAACACATTTATTGGCTGCAGCTATAATGCTGCTTGTATTGAATAAAATATTTAAAGATGCTACCCGCCAAACAAACCAGTTGTTTTCTCAGCAACTAATTAATCGGTTGATGCAATTTGTCCCAAATAAATTGCCCCTTACCTGAAGAAACTAAACATGCGATAAAGTGTCGGGTCTGTCATTAAGAATGTGCTGCGAACAAAGAGATTTGCTGGAAAATAATAGGAAAAAATGGTTCAACGTTGTCACTAAAGATCAGGATAGAGTTTATTCCTTTTCCAAAACTCAAACAAAATCTGAACAAATAAGAAAGATTGATCAATTCCTGTGGCTGACCTCATGAACAGCTATAGAGCTAACACATCTTTTTGTCATCAAAAAGATGTGTTAGCCGAATGCTTGGTGGTTAAATCAAAGATTGATGCGTCAAGCTCGGCCCAAAACAATAAATGCTTGATGTTGCTACAAATGGGTGCAGCTTCTTTGTGAAGCAGTAACTTTTCAGACATGTGGTGCAAATATTCTGACAAATGTAATCAAACACAGTTCAGATTCGTACTAGTAGGAAATTACTCACCCGCTTTTTAGTGCAAAATGTGCTCGACATAATAAGACAAAAAAGATGCACAGATGTGACAGAAAACACAACTGGTCTAATATTTGGAAAAATTTAAAAATAGAAGACAAATATTTGCCAGCAAAGCCAATTTTGAGCTGCATCTCCTCACATCATGGCAGCCAAGCTGCTGTGACCCCAGGCAGTTGAGGCTACCGCTAACACACCCTTGTTAGCAAGCTAGCTGGCTTTTTTACATTTATTACAGAGACGCAGGTCTTAAATTCCATTCAGTGGGTCTTAAAAAGTTTTACATTTCACTTGGTGGAACTTGTCAATGAATTTAAATATCATTAAGTTTCAGATTTTTCTAGCTTGCGTCTGAGAGCCTGACTTAGCCGACCTGCTAACGGCTAACGGCTGCCATGATGAGATTTTCTGTTGTTCATGTCATCTGTCAGTAGCCTGATTAGTGAGCACCAAACATGTAGGTAATAACTTGTTTTTGTCTTCTTGCTTGCTAAATTTCTCACTAAGAACTTCTGCAAACAAGGAACATTTGTGCAAACAGTGATAGTGTGAAATATTTCAAACTGTGCCAGGAACAGAGATTTATCCAATAATACCACAAAAACTCTAAACTTCCTCACTTTAAAGGCTACAAACCAAAGTGTGCGGCTTTTCTCTGACACGTGAATCTATATTCATGACTTAAATCTATATCAGTTTGCACAGCTTGGGAAAAAACGCCTTGGTAATTTTGAATAAGTGTGCCACAAAGTGTTTTTGCACAGCCTCCCCTTAGAAAATCAAATGTTAGCACATCCGTACTATATTTGCAGAGACTTAGCGGCTCGTCTTCCAAGGCCCCGTTGCACAAACACAGCCTCTTCAAGGCCTTACAACAGAAGCACAGAGGAGAGCCTTGATGAGTTAAATCACTTTGCACAAACACTGAGGAATTGTCAGTAAAGCAGCAAAAAATCATTGGCAATTCTTGTCAGGTCTCTGGTAAGCATTGCTTGCTGCTGCAAAGAGGAGATAGCAAAATAGAGCACAGAATGGATGCAGAATAATTACTCTTTCTCCTCTCTCTCCCTGCGCCTTTAAGACCTGGGTTGTGATTCTTTACTGTGCTATAATGTCACATCTGCAGGTTAAAGTTGCAGCACGCCGTATCTCTTAATGCGCTTTACGATTTTCCATTACTTACGCAAAAATTTATCAAACGAGGCCTTCCTTTCTGAATTCCCCTGGATGCTTATTGTCCAAATATTAGCACAACAAAGCAAGCTACCTTGAATATTTTAATTTAGGCCAGCACATTTTGTTTACAAGGCACAGCACAATACAGTGTACCAAGAATTTAATAGGATTTAGCTCACTTCAAACACACCACTCCAGTGCTCCTGAATCCAAAGTTTGCGGCTGTATTGCTCAGCATTGCAAGTGTTCACACTTCACAGCCTCGCTTAAGAAGTAGGCCACCGCAGCTGCAGACAGCACAGAGCTCACACTCACTAATGGCCTTCTCAAAGTATGTTAAAATGAGATTTTTTTTCTTCTTATGGGAGGATGGGTTTGCACTTGATTGCATAGGATATGAGTGGACCAAAAGATACGCCGTGCTTTTTTTAAAATCACGACGACAGCTGCGACAAAGCAGAGGGTAAAAGGTTGCAAATCCTACAAACGGAATGAGTAATTGTTTGTCTATGTCATTTTCTGGTATCTGTCAGCAGCATTCGGCACGCAAAAGCCTGAAAACGGCGTGTCTTTTGAACGCTGTGATAAGCATTATTGTGGAGCAGCAGTGCACTGCTTTCCCTTTCAGCTGAGCACAGGGCTATAAAAGACTGACAGTTCTTTACATCTAGTTTCACTGCCATAATCAAGAAATCAACCTCAAGTGACAGTTAGCGAGCGTGCAAAGGCTGATTGGAGAGGTTTGATTGAATGTGAAATAAACAAGGTTTCCCACAGTGCACTGCAAAAGGCTATTAAGTGATCTTTATGTGGAAGACCATCAAGGCTTTGATAGCTTTGTACAAAACATGAGTTCTTTTCGCAGTTTCATTACTTTCTTTTTTTTCTGCCTCGCTTCTTTTTTCCTTGTAGTCAACTTTGTGATTATATAATTACACAACGTATGTAATGTATAATTTATGTCAATTATGTAATGGGCAATTATGGGCGAAGGAAAGACGTGATGTTCCTTAAAAATAACACTGTAATGAATCAAATTCATATTCTTCTCATAATCAAGTTTAAAGTCTTTGAGGTCCAGTTCAAGTCTTGATGCTAGAAGTTTCTACAAAACCATCCAAAAATGTACTTTCCAGATAAATCTTTAGTCTTTCACCTCCACTCCAAAGTCCCGACCAAAGTCTTTTGGTCAGACTGTAAAAACACAAAATGTCACCAAGTTTTTTTGTCTGGGTTCTCGTCTAAATATCTACAATCCAAATAAGACAAAACTAACTGACATGTTACGTTTCGACACGATATAAGAGCTTGTTTTATGTCAGTACTAGTTTCACTGGCAAATTATTTCACTTACATCTTGTGATTGAAATAATCTGCCTGAGGAACAAGTACCTTTTATGTATTTTATATTATATATCCATAAATGGACCTATAGGAATTTTATTTTCTGATCATTTTACATTTTTTGTTCAAAATGTCGGCCGTGGCTGTCATTGAAAATGAATATTTATCTAACTGCAGTAAAAATCTACAATTGGATAAACATGTTTAGTGTTAAATCATTGCTTACATGATTTCCATGATCTTAAGTCATGGAAATATGATTCTGAATAGGATGACCAATATTATACACGTGATGTAACATAAAGTTAATCCAAGTTATGAAAATGGGTAATATTTTATGGCAATATTTTGTCAAAAAATGCTAAGCAATGGCGGCCATCTTTAAAAATGGCGGTCAGTCTGAAATTAAAGTTTTAAATGGGAAATATGAAAAACATTCAACCTGACCAGATTTTTTTCCTCTGTTACATTTTCCATTTATTTTGTTTCTATATTACCAATAACACTAAAATGTTACTACACACAATTGTAAAAACTACATGGTTATTTAACATATTTTATAAAACTACACGCATCATTTTTTGTGTAAGATTATGCTGAGGTTATTTACTTAATTATAATAAATCTATATTACAAATAAAAGGCTTTTTTGTTTCTAGAAATGTATCATTTGAACGACTCTTTAAAGTGAATGCAAGTCCATTTTCCTGACTCAGAATTGTCCTTTTGTTGATTTCTTTTAATACATAACACCAAGGGATCTTTTGTTCAGAAAACTGAGTCAGAATTAGAATACTCCTCTGTCCAAGATGAGTCATAATGTTTTAAGAGATAGAATAGACTTATAATTAAATCCAAAGTGTGGCCTGTTTGCTATTATCGAACTTGTCAGTGAAATATGCTTTTTCCTGTATTGGTGCTGAAGTTGCTCTGTTTCTCTGTCACCGGCAGAAGATTGTGACTGTTGTTCGATTTACCGATGCGTATCGCCACGCCTCCGCCTGTAAAACAAGAAGCACAGAGCCTTCGCTGCCGCCACCTGTAAATTATTTAGCCGTCATGAAGTTCTGACAGTTTAATGACTTTAGACACAAGGAGAGCGCGGAGACGGCGAATGTGATTGCCACGAAAGTTGGATGCCAAGAGGCATCAAAGAGTTTGGGGAAAAAAGGAAAAGTCATTGATGATTCACCGGATGGCTCCTTTTATACTTCACAGCAGCTGCTTTGCTGCATCATCACATATCAGAGAGTGAATTTATATATATTTTTTGATTGATATGTTTTCTTCCTTTCCATTTTGTCTCTCTTTTCTGTTTATTATACGCTGCACCTTTCTCCTCACCCACATCAGGATGATAGTTTCTGCAGAGGAAGTTGTCATCCCTCCACCCCTCCCCACTCAACCCTTTCACGAGACACTTGTTTTCTCCGGAGACTGAGGTGCCTGATGAAAGCAAGCCTTCTTCTGAGAAAATTGGGTGTTGACAGTCGCCTCATTTCCCTCTCCGAGTTGATAACGCCGGCGTTCCACCATGCTGCCTGTCTTTACGGTGAGCCGGTGAGCTGACAGGAACCGCTCTGATTTCCGGGACTGCAGATGAGAAGAGTTGTCCCAAAACACTCTCGGATCGGTTGTAGCCTTAAATTTGATCTCAAAGCTGCATCTCATGCTGATAATGTGTCCAGCCTCCTTATCGTGCTTTAAGTAAGTTTCTCCGTGGAACAAGTTCCTACCCTATGAAGACCTTACTACAGAAACAAAGCTTCTTGTTTTTCTAATTTTGAAGACTGGTCAAGACAATGCCCTCTGAAAACAGGTTTAAAGGGAACGTTTTAAGCAAATTTGTTTGTTTTTGTACGTTTCCATTTGAATCTCTACTGCTTCTGAACAGTCCAGCTAGTTTTTGGAAACAGCACACAGTGACCCTGGCCCCTTACCTAGCAACCCAAGCTGAGCTTCAGCACATTTGGTCAGTCGGTGGAAAATGGCTGCCGGAAAAAACAAGTGTTTTGTTGCTGTTGACTTCTGACCAATCACAATTCAAATTCAAAAATACTTTATTGATCCCAAAGAAAAATTAAGTTTCTTCTAAGAGTTACTGTAGATAGTGAAGGATGTTAGCGATAAATGTCTCCTGTAGCAGTCTATAATACAGCGAATCTGCAGCAGGCACGCTGTATTTCTACGTCAGTCTCATGAAGAGGTTGGCCATCATTTTATTATCCTTCTTTTATTATTCATCCAATCTGTTGTCCAGCTGAAAACCTAGGTATTTGAATTCCTCATCCACCTCCACTTCTTCTCTCATCAGATCTAACCCTGCTGTTTCTCCTGAAGCCTACAGTTATCTAATTTCAAGATGAGATGATTGCTCCCACACCATGTTACAAAGCGTCCACTAGATCTCTGATTCACCCGACGACTGCGGAGTCATCCGAGTATTTCTGTGGATGACAAAAGTCTGACTTGTGCTGTAAGTCTGAAGAGAGTGAAAAGGAGTGGTGAGAGTCCATTTCCCTGTGGTGCTCCTGTGTTGCACGACCTGGTTAAACACACAGTCCTTCTGTTTCACCAACTGAGGTAATCAGATTTTAGTCTTATTTCAGTTATTCAGTGCTACCCCACATCCAGCCACTAGGGGCCACCATCGCATTAGTTGCATAGAAAAGAGCTTATGGACACGCAGAAGAATAAACCTTCCTGTTAAATGCTATCAAAAGCTGAACATGTATCCCTCATCTTTTCTGCCACAGGTCAGTAAATGTGCCTCCCAATGAATATACGTTGCTGATTTTAAAGATTTGAAGATATTAACTTCTGAGTCATATCATTTGGTTATTATAAAGTAAAACCTGAAAACCACTGCGTTTTCAGGCATTTAGCATATAGAAATAATTTTAGTGATTCTAATTGACCCAAAACAAAAAAAGTTTAGTTTAATTAAACTTGAAATAGTAAGACAACATGTCCTTATTCATTAAGCATCTAGCTTTAACTGGAAACATTTTCCAAATGTAGCCTTTTAATCATGCATTAGATTGCACTTTATCATAAAATTGTGAAGCCTGAAACTATAATTTTGTATAAACAACTTTATACAGAAATTAACACCTAATTATTCAAGCATTTTCAAGAACCTGTCACATGTAACTTTTCTCCAACTTATACTTTAACAACCTGAGAGAAAAGAATAGTAGATAACAAATAATATTCTTCCGTGTTCAATCAGTGGAAGCTTGATTTTAATTTTAACTGTAATGTTTTCCGGGATTAGGACTGCACTGGAAAGCAGCATAGAGAGGCCATTGGTATGCACTCAAGTGGATCTGATTGGTCCAGTTAGCACTGCCTGTAACAATCAAGACTTCTGGCAGCCCATCCATCTCCTCCCAATTACATCAAACACTAGCCCAACAAGCTAAACCAGCTACAATTACTCTGCAGACAATGCACTCGGACACTTTACCTTGCCAACGTATTGGTGGTCATTTCCTGTGTACTCTTCGAGCAGAAAGAATTGATTCCACATCCATCCCCGTTTGGAACGCTGAAGAACCTTCCCATCACTCTCTGGCATCCCAAACAGATTCCCAATATTCCCAGTAATGAAAGGCAGGGCAGTACTGGGCCACAGGAAATAGAGCATCAACAGGAGCAGAGCTTGATTGCCTATCATGGTATCCAATCGGCAGGGAAGCGTCCAGAATGACTTGTGAATTATGGAAATAAGCTGAAAGGTAGCCGTGGCAGAACAGGCATTGTATTTCCTTTCACTCGTGTCCTTTAGATTTCTGTGAAGAGAGAGAACTGCAGTTAGCGTGGACTTTGTGACACTTTGTGCAGATTACAGCACAAGAATGCTCTTGTATCCACAAGCTTCAGGCTAAATTTATTCAATCGTAACATCAGTTTGTGCTTCACAACAGTCAGTAGCTGGAGAAAATATGACAACAGCAAGGAAAAATATGTCTTTCATATGATTTATTTATGAGGGTGTTAAGCCTTAAAGTTTCTAATCTGATGCTGGAATCTCATCTAAATTCAAATGTACTCAAAAGTTATACAAAAATAAATGAAAAACATATTCAGATATGATTTACAAGCCAATGAACAAGGATATTTTCCATCACGAAAATAAAAATGTCAACTCTTTGCCTTTGGTAATAAATTTAAAAACTGATGGAAACCTCATAAAAGACAACATATGTCTACCTTAGAGGCCTAATTTATTTAATTCATAATTTGATAATCAAGTTTATTTTTATAACACAGTTCAAAGTGCTTGACATTGTAAAATCACAATGATAAACTCAAAACTTGAGAAATCAGTAGCAAACAATGTAATTGGTCACAATCAAAATCATCAATATTTATCAATGTTTCAGGGATCAAAATAATAATAATAATAATAATTTGGACTTCTCGTCATGAATTACAAATTGAGTTTTTAAAAAATTGTCCACGTTTTGGACAAAATGTTGCTAGGTAACCAAAGTGTGAAGAAGTTAGTTGATGCCACGTCTCCCATAATTTTGTGCGTTTCTGGAATTATTGAACAATCTGATGTGTATCAATGTGTCTATCGCAATATATATTGTTATTGGTTTATTGTCACGATAAAACTTTCAGTTTGTTTTGCCTGTCTTTACTTCAGAGTCACTTAAATGGCCTTAAAGAGTCATTTTTGAAAGTCAGATGCTTCAGATGTGAGGTGGGGAAAAAAAACCTACATTTTAATCTCAAACTCACGTTTTATTTATGCGTCTCGTTTCACACCCAGTTGCAGTGTGCAGCTTCTCTAACATGTGAAAATGGATCGCGTTGCTCACAGGCAATCTACCCTCTTTTCACAACTCCTCGTAATTTTAGCTCTAGTCTATTTTACTTCCTTTAACTGAAGGGTAAAGTCATAGATTTTTGTTCCCACATCAAAAACGTTGTGAATCCACATGAGCCTATGAGGAATGGCCAAAAACGACCAAAAATCATCCCCAGTTACTGCCTAAGCTTTTGTCTGCAGATAAGCTGTTTTCTGTTATTGGCAGTCTTCTTCCAAGACCTCACTATAAGGCTGTATCCCCAGCAGGAATGGCCTCTGACAGGTAATTTGGGTGTGCATGCATAATTTACCGTCTTTTGGGAGTTAATCCTAATAAATCTTTCTGCTCTCTTTAAAGCCATTTGTGAAGGCTGAAGTTGGAGATTTATAATGAAACGCATTCTCTGTGAAACTCTGGGACTGTGGAGGCTAAGTTCACACTGCAGGTCTTGATGCTCAATTCAGAGTTTACATTTTTATTTATTTATGTGTGTGTGGTTGTTCATGCTACTAATTAAACATGACCCCAATGAGACTTATGAGTGAACCGTTTATGACTTTATTTACGCTCTGTTTATGGAAATGCATTTATGGATTGATTTAAAGGTTTATTCAGCAACAGTATCGTCACAAGACAACACAAAGGAAGCTCAACTTAGACTAGATTCACACTGCAGCTTCAAGTGACCCAGTCCTGTTTTTTGCCTTATCGTGATTTATATCTGATCTTTTTATGACACGCTCAACAACACCTCAGATTTTTTCAAATCTTGGATATCCAATATATATTTTCAGATATAAATTGAGTTTGAACAGCCAGGTCACATTCACTCGAACTGAATGTTATTGATTCTCGACAAACGTCACTATGATACAACCATGGCGGATGATAATAACGAATAAGTTGTTGCTGTTCTGCTTCTGGTTGGGTAACAACTTCAAAATCGTAAGATGTGCTCCTCCATTAGCATCTACATTTACCTCCACAACACAGAGCATTTCTTCTTCTGCTTCCTTTTCATGGCGGTTGGCAAAACACTGATGTCGTTGCGCATGCAGGACACTGTCATGTCGTTTGCAGCTCACGCAGGAGATCATAATACAAGTTGCGCAAGTAAACAAGTATGCAAATAAAAATCTGATTTCACCCAAAACATTGGAACTGAGCTTTAAGGCCTGCAGCTTGAACAGGTGGACTTTTGTGGAGAATTGACTGCAGTTTCTGTGGAGAAGTTTGTAGTCAGAGCTAAGAGTTGTGGGATTGTAAAGCGTTTTAGTGACAGACTTATTTCATAATTTTATAATTATAATTTCCGGCCATTGTTTACATCCCGATTTACTGCGTCCAACTTTTATGACATAAAAGTTGGACGCATGTCTCATGTCAGACTGACGACGCTTTGAAGACAGTTGGCTATTTCAGAATTTTAAAGTGCAACGTCACTTTAACAAATTTTGCTGGGTAATAAAATGTCACAGTAATTACTGTGATAAACAATTTTGTTGTTTTGAGACCATTTTCAATAAATACATCAATAATGCCATAATAATGGAAGTTCATTTTATACAAACCAGTTCCACTGGAACTGGAAAAACATTTTAAATAACCAAAATAACACGCAAAACCCAAAAAACAAAACTTTTAGTTCTAAGAATTAAAAATATGAGCTATTTGAATGTCTTTAAAGAAGCTTTTGTAAGTATGATAAATGGTAGTATATGTAAGTCATCAAATAGTACGCATCTTGGTGAGATTATTGGTAAAAGTACAACAACAACAAAACATGTTATTGGTATGATACAATGATGCTAATGATAATAGATAACTTAGGAACAACAAAGCATCTGGTTAGTAACTGGGGCCTTCCAAATAAAAATCAACTTAGGGTCCCAAAAAGCCTTGGTCCGGCCCTGCATATGAGTCCGAAGTGTTGTAGTTTTCCAGGAGTTAACGCCATAATCATGCTGATTGCAGATCCATTTCTCTGTAGGTACGAAATGTGACATAAGTGTGACACGAATGCTGCTGAAATCAGGGGAAGCGGCCGCCTTGCAATTAATCCAGTCTGATGCTTGTGATTGCATTTTCTAATTATCATTCCAGCCCGTCCTTGAGATTTTAATGGCATTCTGGATATTAATCTTTGATGTGGCGTGCCTATTAAGCATTAGGCCAGTGTTTCTTTTTCAAAAATTCTTCCAAACACTCCATTAAAGGATGAATGAGCGCGCTTGAAACCACGCCAGATCCTATAGGGTCGAGCTGAATTATCTCGACTTATTCAGCCCATTAAAAGAAGCGGGGCGCATTAAAAGAAATTGTTTATGACTAGATTAACTTGTAGGGAGCTTATTCGCCTTGGCACTACAACACACACAGATGTGGAGGGGACCAAATTGTTAAATATGCTTTTATGGGTGGTTGTCTTTGAATGTTTTCTCTTAATCTTGGCAACTACGCATTCCGGCTGGCTGGCAACAACTTCACCGTGCTCCATTGCTTTAATCTGCAAATTATACATTCTTGTTTTGCTGAATAAGAACATCTTTGATCAGATACAAACGAGCTGTTCATCAGGATCTGCTTCCTGGGAAGAAGAAAAAAAAAAAGCGCAGCCTTTGCAACATTGAATATGAATTTTCATGCACATGCCGTCCTAAAAAATGAACATGCAAGCTTGGAGAGAAAAACCGGAACTGAGCTCTGCAACTAAGCACTTTTGTGGATTCTCCAACTCGAGGAGTACAATAATTATAGCTGCAGTATGCTCTTGAGGTAAGCCTGCATGGAATGTTTAGAAGCGTAAAATATATGCAGTAAAGCTCAAATTTGTTCATACTCCTTGCAGATCCAGAGTTAATAGTTTTTATGCAACAAAGAAGTTTATTTCCACTGGGAAACAACAGGAATCTCTGAATAGACGATGAAATAATGTAAAGAAATCAATATTCAGTTTTCAGGGAGAAACTTTGGCATTACAGTAGAGCTTCAACTTGTCCAGAAACTTTCAGATTAGGCTTAAAACATTATTATTGTCGGTTAAATGAAACATGCTGATCCAATTAAAAGATTATTTTAAATCTAAATCTTTCTGGCATTCAAAGAATGAGTTTAAACGTTTAATGACTTTTACTTCTTCAACAAAGCTTAAAGTTTTCTCAAGAAGTTGCTGTGCCAAATAAATGTAGTGTAAAAACATATTTTACATATTTTTTTGGTTATTATCAAATATATAAAGCTTTTGATTAAAGCGTTATATGTACATAATTTCACATTCTCTCCATGTTTGCACTAAAATGTAACTTAAATCTTGATTAAACTCATTAATCAAATATCCAAGTTTATCCACTAGAGTCCAGGATGTTATTGTGTCTTCATGTTTAATGCAGTTTGCCACTTTCCACCAATCTGGATTACATTTCTCCAGTCTGAGATTAAAGGAAAAAGTTAATTTCACAACTATATGTATTTTCTTCATTGTTTCTATTCATTATTTAATATTAAGGGATTCTTAGACTTTAATCAGAATCCAGCTACTTGAGGCAAAGATAGAAGGAATATTTCCCAGATGGATAAACCTCGAAAAACCTTCTTTTTTTAAAAAACAGCTGCATCTTTAAATTTAATACGGCTGTTGGTATTACTTCCTAGTTTAAACTTAAACAACTGAAGATATTTTTCTGATCATGATCAACTTTTTTATGATAAAAGTTTTCATTTAAGTTTATTTTCCATCCCTTTAAAGGGTTTTAATATATTTTTCTTTCAAAAAAATAATGCAAATTAAAACAAAGTCATGAATTAAACCCAGTAAAGTTCTGGATATTATTGTGATATCTTCATATTGAATGCAGTTTGACACTTTCTTCCAGTATGTTTTAAACTTTTCTAATGTAAAATTAAAGGAGAAAGTTTATTTCTCCACTATATGCATTAAGAGGTTCTAATACTTGGCATTACTTGAGTTAATGTTGGAAGAAATATTTTCCATATGAATAAACTCAAACTTATTTAAATGTAATATCTGTTGGTTTTACTTTTGAGTTTGAATAAAGAGATTTTCTGGTTAGAATAAACTTTTTCACATTAAATTCTTAGTTAATTTCTCTGCTATGTGTATTTCCTTCAATGTTACAATTCATTATTTAATATTAAGATGTTCTTATATTTAACCTAAATCAAAGTATGGCTTTTTTTTATGTGAGGCAATGATAGAAGGGATATTTCCCAAATGAATAAACCTCAAAGCTTTCCCTCTAAAACAACTACTTCTTTAAATTTAACATGCCTGTTGGTATTATTAAGTTTAATATTAAAACGGAGCTATAAATATATTCAAATATAGATCTACTTCTTAGCAGATGTAGCGTTACGTAAGGACTGGATCGTATAATTAGGCGTCAATAATCCAAAAACTCCCACGCACAATGTGAAACAGACGGCTATTTCCATTCAAGTATGTGGAGCAAAATTCAGCAGTGAAGGTTTCGGATTCCAAGAAAACAGAGAAGACGACGACAAGGTCATGCACTGGGGTTACATATTTAATTAAAAAAAAGAAACATAACTCAGACTGACATAAGCAAACAATCAAAGGAGAAAAAAAAACACTGCGAGGTTTGATTTCCAAACAATTGCAATCTGATTGGCAGGTTTAGTGACTCCAGTGATTGCTTGCAGGGACAGAGTGTAAATCTACCTGGTGGGGGGGTTGAGGGGGGTGCAGTTGCAGTTACACCTACCTCCACTTGGTGGAGCCCTAGCCCTTCTCAACGCCGTGTGGCTGCAGGCTTTGGCAGACCTCTGCGAGCTTTACTCGTGTTTTGAAATCCTCAAAGCAATTTTGTGATACAGTGCACACTTCCAACACCAAGCCGGCTCGGCTCGGCTCGGCTGGGCTGGACGTTTCTTGAAAAGAGTCTGACAGTTAAAGTATGCCATGAAACCCAACCTGTGTTATTTAGAAGGAGACATTCTCGCTGGACTTTCTTTGGGGTTCATTACAAAAAAAGACTAAAGATTCATTTTTAAGAAGTGAAACATGCAGCAGTTTCCACTCCTTATTTGCACCTAAACCCACTAAAAGCACTGCATCGTCATCCCCCCCAAAAACCACTTAAGAGTGAGGAAAAAAATCAAAAATGAAGCCGGTCAGGGTTGGATTAAGTTTGTGCTTTGGAACACATGTCCAAGATAAACACCTGGAGCTATATTTTTTATTTTTCTTAGAGATATGAACGCTACACTGGCTCTCCATCAAATCGCAGCACAAGTACGACTTTCTTTCTTGTGGAGACTCAGAAAGTCAAACAGGTGCCAACACCTGCTGTACATGGTAGACACCAAAAAAAAGAAAAAAGAAAAAGAACGAGCAGGGATGAGTGACAGGTGTCATGCTTAATCTGAATTAACAGCTGCAAAAAATAAAAGAAGATGAATCCATGAAGAGTTTTCAGTCTTATTTTTCAAAATCTTGGCATGTGATTATGGGTTGAAGTAGCATGCAGATGAGATATGATGGATGGATGAGGGGAAAGGAGGAGGAAACGAACTGCTTTACCTTTGGTTTTGCTCTGCTTAGCATCCATCTGTGTGTCTCAGTGAGCGCTGCTCCGTCTCGGCGCTTAGCGGTTGGAGAATCGGACTCCTGACGGCAGCGCTTACATTCCAGGACTGACAGCGGCACAGCTGCTGCGAATGTGTATGGGACTGTGTGTGTGTGTGTGGAGGAGAGAGAAAGAGGAAGAGAGAGAGGGTCCTCCTCGCTCGCTCTCTCTCTCGCTTACTCCTCCTCCTCCTCTTCGTCCACACTTTCCTTCTTTCTTTCCATCATTTCTCACAGTCCCCTCCTCTTCTCTTTCCTCCTCCAGCAGTGCATCAATCCTGCCGGTGGATGTCACCGAGGCGGAGGCGACTCTGCCCCCTGATTGGCTGCCATTCACAAGTTACAGATAAAGGGGGATGAGAAGAACCAGAGCGCCGGCTGACGTCTAATCTTCCCTGAATGACGGAGGAATGAAGGAGAGAAAAGCCATAACTTGTAAATCAGAGTAAGAGGGGGAAGAAAGTGGGTTTCGTTTTGACCAGTTTAGCTTCATCTTCATCATCTTCGACTCGTAGACTTGGCCGCCAGCGTGAGGCAGGTGCACACACACAGAGTCCAGGCACTCTGTCATCTCTCCTCATTACATGCTGGATGCATATCAATCCGTCTGCATGCAGCGCGGCCCACTGAGAGCCATATAACATCTGTGGATGCACAATCGAACCACGGAGAAGTAGAGAATAAATAAAATCATAAAATTAGGAGAATACAGTCATGAAATTACAAGAAAAAAATACATTTATGAGAATAAAGTAATAAAATTGAGAAAATGTTCAGAAATGTTCCAAGAATAAAGTCAAAATTACAGAAATAAGTCAGAGTATTACAAGAATAAAGTTGAAATAATTCAAAATCAAGACGTAATCTTACAAGCATTGTCAAATTACAACTATTTTCTTCTTACAACTTTATTCTAGTATTTGAGTTTAATCTTGTACGTCTCATAATAGATTTTTTTTAATTCTCCTACAGCTTTACTCTACAATAAATAATCAATTTTATTTATAATGCCCTTTATACATCCAATTGAAGTATTAAAGTAGGTGATGCAAAACTACTGGACTGTAGCTACAGCTGCTCAGAGGCAGCCTGACAGATGCAGGCTGCCGTTTTCTGCCACTGGCCCAAGGGCACAAACAAGGGCAGGCGGACCGGGAATTGAACCGATGAACTACCAATTACCGAGCAAACTCCTACCACCATCACCCCCATTATGACTTTATTCTCATATTTTCATTTCTTTAATAATTTTTTCTTAGAGTTGTCGGCCAGTGTGAGGCAGGTGCACACACACCGAGTCCAGGCACTTTGTCATCTCTCCTCATTACACGCTGGATGCAAATCAATCCGTCTGCATGCAGCGCGGCCCACTGAGAGCCATATAACATCTCAGTTCAGCTGGAAGGAACAGAGGGAGGAGTGACGTGTGATGGATCTGATGAAGAAGGGGGCGGTGCATCTTTAAGGGTGGATTCACACCGATTGGTGCGTTTTAATCCACTAGTTTGACTACAAAGTCCAGCTCATTGGGGGAGTTGTGAATATGCAGTTTTTACTTGTACTTAATCGCTGCCTCAGATTATAATCCATGATCTAAACAGCAGTAGTAAAACATCACATTTACCAACATAAATAAGTGCAAATATTGAAAATATTTCCAAATTAGTACCACAAACGCTTTAATTTTTATTGTAAAAAATTACAAAAAGTCTCACAAAATCCTGGAGGGACTGAAAATATTCAATAATATTTCATTTTAGGAATTTATTGATATTGTAACAGTTTGTGAACAGGTTCTGTCAATGCATTCTGGCCCAACCAGCCCTTTAAGAGCATTTATGATCTTTATTTGGCCCAAAACGAAAAAGAATTCAACACTCCTGCTCCAAATCGTTGCTCTTTAGGTCCAGTGATAATAACTTCAGTTTTGTTTCTGTTCAGCTGGAGAAAGTTATGGCTTCATGTATTTATCTACCTAAGAATCTGTTTAAGTTCAGAGTCAACTGGAGATATGATATAGTAATATAGAGCTGTGTGTCATCTGCATAGGTAGGATAGCTAATTTTATTTCTTCTAAACTGAGTGAGTGGGAGCATGTAGACTGAGCCTTGGGATACGCTACATGAATAAAAATGTTGATTTTCTTATTTTAAAATGGAATTTATTATTCACTTTTTAATGTGTTTCCAATATTATATAAAAAAATGATTGATTAAATAAAAAATCTGCAGAATGTGCCACTTATCAGACAATGAATCACTAAAATAGGTCCTAAATACCACATTGTGTTGGTCAAACATTAAATCCCATGAAAACCTTGACCTTGTGATGAAATGTGCAATAATTCAAGTCTGTTGAGACTCTGGAGATCTTTAGACATCTCCATATTTCCTTAAAACACATCAGCCCAGAAAAAAGTGACTTTAAAAAACCGCCAGTCGCTGCTTGATGAATAATGTAAGAAAAGAAGCGGCTCCGCTGGCCAGCTTCAATCTGGGATCGAATTTTACTCTGCTGATATCAGTGTGCATAGATTATCAGCTGTAATGCGCTGCGCCAGATAAATAAAAATGCAAACAGGCCAAACTAATTAACATCCAAACGAGCGGCGAGGTAGCCTCCCTCTGATGCCAAGCCAAGTCCTCCTCACACTCCATAACTCAGCCCCTCGTTGGGTTCATGGTGCTGGGAGATTAAGAAGTAGGTGTGTGTGTTTGCATTTGTTCCCCCTGTGAGCGGTGTTTACCGAATGGTTGTGTGAGTCTGTGTGTGGCGTTCTCTTGCTAACAAGCCTCTGAAAAAAGGAAGCAATTTTGTACCTCTCTGCATAGAATTAGTAATAATTTAGTTGCTATTTACACCCCTGGGATGTTAATTACGCTGTTGTTACGCGGCCCAAACAACTCGGCAAACATCAGAGAATGAGAGCGAGCATTGTTCCAAGCTGCTTGAGGAAATACAGGAACATTTTCAGACTACACTTCTTTGGAAAACACACAAACAAGCAATATCTTCCCATTTTAACTCCACAACCTTATCCGCAGCCAGCGATTCCCACAAAGCAGTTTTTTTTCTTGCCTCTCTTACTCTCTAGATGAGGACTCTATTACATTAAATCAAAGTTTTCCAGCCTGCAGAAACAGCTTCCTTAAGTAAGAGGTGTCTCTTGATCCTCTCCTAATACAGAGTGTCAGCTTCCATCAGCGTCACAGAAGCATACCACCAAGCTTCGGCCCTGATCGGTTTTCCGATGTGCCGCAACTTCCCAAAGCTGCCAGCCACTGCGGATGCTCGGTGGCTGTTCTTTCTGCTGGAATCAGGACTCCAGCTGATGACAGGTTGTTGATTTGCCTCATTGTTTGGCAGCGGTTAAATCACATTCAGTTAATTCTCCAAGCTCCCATTTTTCTCTTGTTTTTTTCTTTCATCTTAAAGGTGACCAATTATGCTTCCTTGAACTGGTTAAGATAAATCTTTGTGACATAGAAAACACCTATATTACACGTTTCTGCAGAGATAATGAGATTTTAGAGTCTCGCCATTTTAAATCCAAATAAGCTTCTTCCGGCCAGCCCTGCCCAAATTAATATTTACACTACAATCAAAATGGCTGCAAACAGATGTGCGATTATACAACCATACAACTGAGAGACGCATAAAGACGATGCCAAAGTTGGCGTTCCACCATCTGCAGAACATTTTCAGGATGACAGGACTATATTACAAGAATAAAGTTGTAACTTTAGTGATTATGCAGTTATTTTATGATTGCTAACAAATGATTAGCTAAACTGGCTGATAATTGTGAGGAGTGAATGGTGCTAGTGAGTGATTTAATGTAATATATGGTTTCCTTGGACAGAAAACATCCTAAACTAATTAGAAAAATAAACATCTTGATAATGTTGAAAATTAACAACCGAACTGAACATTTCAGGGAGATTTACACAAATAATAGTTGTTTAAATTTGAGCATAAGCCCTAACTTGTGCATACAATTCTTATAAATTACTGTCGTTTATGTTCTCATGATATAGAACAACATGAACCAATCAGAAATTTTGGTTCATGTCAACTAAAAAAATAATTTTAAGATTTTAAAGGGACTGTACCATCCTCTTGGTGTAGAGACAAACAACTAATTAAAAAATACCTTGAGTTTTTTCCACTTGTATCGATTCAAGTCATTGAATGTACAGTTCAGCAAGGCAGTAATTACCAAATCTCATGAAAAGACAAAACGAGGAATCTCAAACAGTCGTCCAACCCATCCTATGTAGTTCTTAATTTTTGGTTTGTATTGAACAAATGAGCAAGCCATGAATTCAAGAATGTAATTAGGGCCTGAGAACTTAATTAGCTTCTTGGGTCTTTGGCTTGTTCACAAGAAGCTAATTAAGGTTCAGGATCTCTGTAAATGTTACATGAGAGCTGGAATCCCTCAGAATGGTCAAACAGGAAGGATTCTGGAGATCGTTTTGTTTTAACGTCCTTCCACAATCAGTAAAAACGTTTATTTGTTTACAGAGAAAAATATCGGAGGGTCACAATAAAGACTCCTCAATCCTAATCATCTACAAATGGTAATAATCCTAACTTTACTACTAGTCCCACAGACTTTACATGACTAATCTTAAAGTACAACAACTGGTCTCAAATAAGGATTTTTAAACTGTGTTGTTTCAGTTTAAAGTGCATAAAAGTTTAATGATTCTGTCACATTTTAACGCTTAGCATTTTGCCAATCCTTTATTGTTTTATTCGTTTATTCCCTGAAAAGATTACATTTTTAGTTCATTTAAGCCTGAATAAAAACTTACATGTACTTCCTTTAGTGTTGCTGCTGTAACATTTCATGTAATTTTATAAATTTAAAGTAATTTCTGATACATATTTATACCAAATTAACATAACTTCCACCCCAAGAAAAAAAAAAAACTAGAAAAGTCTAAGCTTTATATATATGTTTGGTTTCATTGATGTGAAAAATTACAATAAATTCCACTTAATTATCTCTGAAGAACCCAAAAACTGTTACTTGTTATGATTTCTCCATTGTTTGTTTCACAAAAGCATCAAGAAATATCAATGAAATAAAAAAATTCAAGCAAAAAAATAATTACTATGTGCCGCTTTAGTTTTTTTCTAATGGAAAACATATTTTAAAAATGTTTGCAAATATCTAAAAGGTTGTATGTCCATTTTTGATAAACTAGGTGAGTTTCCATTGCACAAATTGAAAATCCGAAATTT